TCATCGCGACCACGAGCGTTTGCCTGTGCAGGCGGAGCCGCTGACACATGAGGTCGTGGGCGAGAGTGAGGTCAAAGTTCACCTTCAACCAGAGGCAGACATGGACGACCTGTACCACATAGATGTCTCACAGCTCATCCCGTACCAAGGTGATACTGAAGCTGCCGCTGATGTGCTGCCTCAGAGGAAGCACAGCGAACCAGAGGAAGATCTGGATGATTTCTACCACCAGTGATCCTTCAGCAACAACCTGTGTTAATCCTTGTTGTTTCAAATCAAATATAACTAATATACTGTAGCTGCGACAGGTGATTAAATCATAAATGTCATTTGACTCCATTAAACTCAATAAGAATGAACAATAATGTATGTTTATGTATCTCGATAATAAAGATATTTTAACACACTTATCAACGACTTCATGTTTTATTTATTGAAATGTATGCACAACACAGAAGTACAAAACAATTTCTGCTCCTTGTAAACTGGAGATTAAATCAGATCATATTTACAGTTAATTACACATGAACAAGAATAAATTATGTTTTGAATTTACAGCTTCTGGTGGAAACTGAACAAAACTGAAAATTAATTTCAAGCAAAAATATTCAACATTTCTTGATTCTGATTAGAAATAATTACAGTTGTGACTGAAATTTACATTATAGCATCATTACTTTTAAAATGTGTGTGTGTGTGTGTGTGTGTGTCACTGTAGCAGCTCAGCAGGAATGACGCCCTTCTTCAGTATCAGGTTACCATACAGAGCTGTTTCCCTGTATAGACAGAGGAGCAGAGGAATATAAGAGAGGAAAATATTTAACTGAAATAATAATGAGACTTTTGTGGAGATTTTTTAGCATCCAGAGCTCCGAACTGCCGCCCACATCTCATATTTGTTCAGAAATTCATATAGTGAAGGAAGTGAAAAGAAATGGCAACTGAGTCAGATTATCAGGCTACAGAGTTATCACAGAGAACAGGTACCCATTTTATGACTTAAGAAGGTTTGCTGATTTCTGTAAAAGACAAGTGACTTGAATGAAATCTACAGAGGTGTCTTCAGTAGATAATGTCTGTCTTTTACAAAGTGACACATGCCTTTTATTCAGCTATGAGATTCAAATGAAGACAGAGAAAATACACACCCTGTTGCCACAACAGCGTACGCTTTCTTGGCTCGTTCATAGAAAGCAAACCGTTCCACTTTCTGAAGAGGAGCCTGCATGTAAACAGAAATAAACACACAAAGAGTCAAAAATCAAAGGATCTACACTACTACTTTATTCTTGAATCACTGGGTGAGCAGGCTGTTTTACCGGAGACCCAGCCTGACCCAGGAGCTGTGTATAAGTGTCCCACACAGGGACGGCTAGACACCTCTGTTTGTCGCTGTCTACCAGATCCATCACTGCAGCCTGTGGAGACATATTAGCACATATTCGACAATTACATTTAAAAAGATAAGAAAAGTGTCCTGCAGGAATATGCACTCATTAGTGCCACCGACAAGACATCCCTCAGTGGTTTTAGCTTTAGATTTATGGGTCCTGTACCGGATAGGGGACGTAGGTATCCAGGGGCAACAGCTTCAAAATTGCCTCCAAAAGCTGTGGGATTCCCAAACCTACATAAAGATCAGACACAGGTGGAACAATTTATTACACACACTCCCCCCTGAAGATGTGTACTGACAGATGTATGCATTTACATACCATCAGCTCTTATCTCTGTTGGACCACAACTACAGATGGAAGATGCTGGAAAATTTGCATCAGCAAGAACTGAAAAAAAAAAGAAAGAGTCAGTGAGTGAATTACCCCTTCCTGCTCTTTCACTCTTGACACTGGTTTGTTTACATGAACTTAGCCTACTTGCCCTTTACTGTACACACTTTACAGGCTATCACTGCTAGCACAGCCTACGACAAAGGCGACCTGTGTGTGTATGTTGTTCAATAACATACCCAGTTCGTCCCCATGGCCCATTTTAGCGAGAGCATACAGCAGTTCAGGTGATAAAACAGAGGGGATCCCTTTCAGTACGACCATACTGGCAGCTACACAGCCAGAGAGGGCTGGAGAGAGTCGGGAAGCGACGCGAGAGCGGTCACTCCAGCGTACTTCCTGGTTCGTTTGTATCCGCCAGACAAGCCGATAAAATCTATTAGCAACAAAACAAAAGCAGTTTAGCCAGTAGCGAGTCTCACATGTGTATTACGATGATATCTCCTGTTACTAAAGCCAAGTGTCACACTGCTTTATGTTTTCGGTCTGTCGGACGAAGGTATTTGTAGGTTATTAACTATTAATTATCTTGACTTCATCTTTTTGTTGTAGACGCGTCATGTGATCAGAGACTCTAATCTGATTGGGTTAGAGGGGCTGGCACATCGGGTCACTTTCACAAACTTAAAATTCAAATATTATAGTTTATTGTTTGTCTGAAAGCCCAGTGTATAAATAAATGGAATATTATTTTCTATTTCAGTTGTGTTTATAATATGTTAATTGCTCTGTAAGGTTGGCCTATAGTGAAAAAGTGATACATTACCTAATTAGTATGGAATAAGATTAATATGTAGGTTTTGTGTTTGATTCATTATTTCCCAAAAAAGGTGCAGTCACTTTTGCAAACAATAAGCAAACGTTTCTCTATCTAATGAGTTTGTAAGAGCCTATATGAGGCCATAAAATTGGGTGGTGTCATTAGTCCGACATACTGCATAGTCGGTTAATCTTCGGTAGATGTTGTTTCTGACACCCTTGGGTGGGCATAATTCAAAGCAGACACCGGGTGAATGTGTTATTCCGACACGGTCTCTGGTGCCAAGAATGTGAGATAATGAAAATATTTGTCAGATGAAAACCACTCCACCCCGGCCTGTTTCATCTGAGCCAGAAAAACTCTCAGCTGGATGGCAGAAAAATGCTGAGGAATCCTTTCCATGACCGCAAATCCCGGTTCTGTAAAAAAAAATCTGAGATCTGCATATAAAAAGGCTTTTTTTTTTTTTTTTTATAAAAGTCAAGTCACAGTTCAGTGTTGCAGGCCTATATACTGAATTAACAATCCTCATCCAGCTGCTGTTAATAACGAACGGGAGACATTTGTTGCTGTTGCCTATTGCGAGTTTTTAATGTGCAAATATTTGCTTTAGTTTGTTTATAATATTTCTAACTTAAAGACCTACGATGTATTTTGGAGTTGGGATGTTCTGTGTGCCATATGCCACTCTAAAAATAGTGTGTTTTCTGCTAATTGTGCATTACTTTACACAAATCCCTTTCTATAGAAAACTATTTATTATTAACTTTATGGTAATATGTAGCTCAGGATTCATGTTTATGTAGCTTATTCTTTCAGTTTACTTTTATTTTGAGTGATGCAAATGAATTGATAGCCATGCATGCAAACGAATCCATGAAAATATAAAAATAAACTGAATGTAAAAACACAGATAAAGTCACCAGCGTATAGTTTAGGAGTATGAGAGTGATTTTTTTTTGGAGAGGGCTGGGAGGCTGCTGAGCAGGAGAAAGGGCCCTTGCAGGAGCCAGGCCTGTCTGCCGGACTGAAAGCCCCTTTCTCCCTGTGTGGACCCATGCTGCTCTCTCTTTATATCGGCTTCTTTAAATGAGTTTATCACGCTATGAGGGTCTACGCTGCCAAAATGTAACGTTTTGCCCCCTTTGTCCGTGCGGAGAGCCTCAATTGAGTCTACATTTATTATTTTGACCTTTCGGTAGCCTCAAAGAGGAGCTTCTTTTCGGGCCCTCTCTGCAGACTTTTTGTGCTTCCCTGCGGAGTGAGGAGACGAGTTTTTTTTTTCTTCCCTTTTTAAAAAAAGTTTTGTTCCAGGGGGCTGACAAGAAAGCAAGCTCCAGGGGAATATTGAATGAAAATAAAAATCAATTAGGCCATGGCCTTGTGAAGATATGGGGCGCCGCCGTGTGAAGATCAGAGAAAAAAAAAGGTGCCTCAAGATGATTGGAGCTGCAAGAGAAAGAGCACACTAACCAAATTTGTTCTGGTGTTTTCTTTGAAGTCAAAATTATGGTTTTGCTGTGTGCCCAAATATTTTTTAGGCAATATAGGTGATGAGCAAGACTTAAAAGATCGTTTAAACAAAGATCTATTTTCAATAAAAGTAGTATTTTTTTGGCATGCAGTAATTACTACTGAGATTATATGATTATTTTAAGGTTAAATCTTACAGAAAAAATCAGCTTCAGTGACAATTTGTGAAAAGGCAATCGGCTATAAGACCTTTAAATCGAAGCCTTTGATTCTTTAAAGATGCATAAATCTGTGGTGCGATAAAATTTGGGCTTATTAATTATATATAAATAAAGAAATCACAAAGTTTGTTTGGTTGACTTATGAGAACAATTACAAAACATAATGCTGACAACTAATTTGTTTCTCTATCACCAGTGCCCGATGATTTATTCCTTTACAGTCTCTTAATGACTTGACTTTATAATTGTCACTTTGCACTCAGTTGCACCAAATGAAGCGCCTTTCTCCACACGACCCGGTGCGCGTCTACGCAACAGGCCCGTTCAATTTATAGTCCGGGTCCAGTTTCTGCTTTGTGTAACAGCACAAGAGCCCCATCTGGTGGCCTGCAGAGCACACTGGTGTGATGATATATCAAATAAGACCACAATGTCTCTAACAGTTAATAAATTATATATATATATATATATGATACTCTGGTGCACACTGTTAAAGATGGTGGTATCATGTTACTGTTACATATCATTCATTATATCATTATGTCACGCTTCTGAGATGATTAACTGTATGTGTACTACTATTGCTTGTCATTTTACATTTTGTGGCTATTTGCTCTCATACAATTTCTATTTTTTATTCTTTTCTTATTTTATACACATTTAATTACTTATTCTATTTAAGTTTCTCTACTTATTCTGTCCTCGGTGGGATCAATAAAAGGATCATCTTATCTTAAATTCAGCAGACACACCTTCCCATTTCTGTTCATGTCTCAGTTACAGTACTGAAAACCACCCTAGAGCTTTATTTGTAAAATGTACACAGAAACAAGTTGCCTACGAAATGCAGACAAACTTTTGACAGTGAAAATGAAAAGGCAAAGTCAGTAAGAGTCATCAAGATAGATTCCCCCTGTTAATTACTGATTATAACACAGTTATCAAATGGTCTTCACACACAAACCCCCTGCACTCTTGCAACCAGACTGCATTTGATTTTGATACTGAGTCTCCACTGGCAGCAGGGCTTCACTGTAATAAGACACTCACTCGGTGCCAAATCCTAATTCAAACAGCGTATGTTCCACTACCATCAGGATTTCTGTATCATTAAACTTATTGCAGATAAGGAAATGACCCGCTGATATCAGGAACTTTGGCAGCGCTCAGACTGCAGGCCAAAGTGACCCAAATCTGATTATGTTTTTGCTAATATGTGACTTACGACAGTTTGAACAGCATAAATCACAAATCAATCTGATCTTTTGAATTCTGATTTGAGCTACTTATGTAGTTATGTTGCAATGTGGCCTCAGTGTGAACATTTATGTGACTTTTATGTCCCTATAGATCTACGTTTGTCATGTGGGTCACTTCAGAACTGTGACCTGTTCACATTGGAATTATTAATTAGATATGGGCCACATTAAAAACATAATGTGAACAGCCAAACAAAAATCACATCCGAGCAATAAATCAGAATTGAGCACGAGGGCTTTCAGTGTGAACGCAGCCTTTGTGTCCTTGGCCGAGCTCTCGATCTGCTCTTTTCTAATTGTCCTGGAAACTGGCCTTTCTCTTCTCCACAAATGCCGTCATGCCTTCTTTGCGATCGTCCTGCACGGAAAAACACAGACACACACACACAAACGTCATAATTGGAACGTCAAAGTCAGAGTCAACCCCTCTCACTCGCTCTCAGATGGGCTCTTTTACTCACAGTAGCAAAGGTAGCGTGGAATAAACGCTTTTCCAAACGATTACCCTCAGCCAAAGTCAGTTCATAAGCTGCAATCACACAGAAGAGCACATCAGACAACATTAAAACTTATTCAATTCATATGTTTTAAGATACTTAAAATTTTAAAATTAGTTTACACACCTGCGTTAACAGCCTCTTTAGCCATCGCAGAGACCAGTTTGGAGTTGGAAGCAATTTTCTCCCCACATTTAACAGCTTCAGACACCAGCTGGTCCACAGGATAGATTTTACTCACCAAACCTGGAAAACACAGAAAGCTACTGAATCAAGTATCATACATTTTACCTATGACTTGTTTATTAAGTACTCTGGTGCAATCTAATCTTCAATCTGACCTAATCTAATCTTTAGTCGAGTGCATGTCAGCTGTAAGTTTTCAGATCCTTTACTTTAAAAAAAGTTAAAAGTACCATTACAGAAATACAGTAGTATTATCAGAATGTCGATGTAGTGGAGTATAAAAGGTATAATATTTTAAAGAAGCATAAAATGGAAATACTCAAAGTGCCTGAAAATTGTACTTAAAGGACCAGTGTGTAGGATTTAATGGCATCTAGAGGTGTAGTTGCTGTTTAAAACACCTTTGCCTCACCCTCCCATTCAAAGCTTGCCGAAGAAACTACGGTAGCCCCTTCTGGGCTACTTATAGAACATGGCGGTTCAACATGGTAGATGTAAAAATGTCTCATTCTAAGATAATGAAAACACAACAAATCTTATTTTCAGGTGATTATAAACTAATGAAAACATACCTATGAATATTACATTCCACTTCTGCCAATAAATCCTCCTTAATGTTACACATTGGACCTTTAAGGACAGTAATAGTCCTTTCTAACACGCCTGTTACCTGATTGTTTGGCTTCTTGTGCATTAATTCTGTCTCCTGTAAGAACCATCTCCATAGCCAGGGATTTCCCCACCGCACGGGTCAGCCGCTGGGTGCCACCCGCCCCTGCAGGTAGACAGAAGTCATGAACAGCTGCACCCACGGCAAGAATCTGGTAATCTTAGAATAAGGAAGCGAAGTCTGTACAGGAAGGAAAGCAGATATGAACGAGTCTTTACCAGGAATGGTCCCCAACAGGATCTCTGGTTGGCCGAACTGCGCCTTCTCGCCGGCATAGATGATGTCGCACATCATCGCCAGCTCACAGCCTCCACCAAGCTGAAACAGCACAACGTACAGCATGAAACACACAAACAGCACAAGGAAGCACATTAAAGGTCATTGCACAGTGACTAGTCTCACTTTTCATTGTTTCATAATCCACTTACATGTTGTACATCCTTGAACTGATATACAGTGTTAAAAGCTACACTATATGGTCAAAAGGTTTGGAACTGTTTTCACTAGGCCCTTTAGTTTTAATTAAGGACAATCCTAAAGCTACAGTATACAAAGATATTCTAGATAGGTCTATGCTTCCTTATACTTTGACCATACAGGTTATGTGCAAGTGCAACCAGAATACACAACTAATACATTTTAAATCGGAGGAAAATATGTTTGTTTGGATTTAATTGTACTGAATTTCAGTTGGGGTAATGTAGGTGTACAAATATGGCCAAAAAGCAAATGGAAGGTACTTAAATCCTATTGGGATATTATACAGATAAATGCTGCTGTATAACTGAAGTCCTGGACCTGAAATTAGATACTTTAAGTTTAAGGATTTAGCCAATGGAGGAAGGTGGAAAAAGTGGGAGATAAGAGAGGGAGGACAACCTGGTCCTTGAAGCAGAAATAGTACACAGCGGAAAAGTTCATCATTACTTTGTATACTGTACCTGCTCATTTGCTTAATTACTCATGAGTGCACCTTTCTTTTAATATTTGCAACTTATTTCTTATATACATTTTCTTGCTTTCTTATGTCATGTTTGTATATTGTTTTCATTTATCTGTTTGTAACCACACTACATACCTTTATACAAATAACAAAAAAAGACACTCACAGCAAATCCATTGACAGCGGCAATCACAGGCTTCTTCACTGTGGACACTCTGTTCCAGTGAGCCAGGAAGTTTCCACCGTAACACTCCTGGAAGGTTCGATTCTGCATCTCTTTAATGTCCGCTCCGGCTGAAAAACACAAAAGCTGAGCTCAACACTGATATAATCGAGCTCATTGTTCATTCTCTGCTCCTCACAGGAGGAAAAAACACAGAAACAAGCACAGAAAACACAATTGGATTCCCTCACCAGCAAAAGCTCTGTCACTGCCGGTGATGACTATAGCTCCGACTTCACTGTCAGTTTCAAAGGCGTCCAGGGCTTGTCCCACCTCCTTCATCAGCCCGTCACACAAAGCGTTCAGAGCCTTAGGCCGGTTCAACTGGATGAAACCCACGTTACTCTGGTCACCTCGCTTTTCCACCAGAATATACTCATACTGACCTGCATGAAGAACAGAAAACCAACAGGTCAGGTGAGACTTTTGTGGACTTAGTGTATCAATGGTTTTTGCAGGGGTTATTTCAGACCTTGTTCATGCCACACAGAATTTAATACCTGTTTCACCGTCATACTGGCCAAAATATTAAGGTATTAAAGACAAAAAACAAGCAAGGACAATACGGCTTAAAATAATGTATTAAGTATAATGTATGAATGTATTATATATCAAATCTGTACTTAATCTGTACTTCCCAGCAATATATAATAATAGCTCATCACACAACCTGGAACCAAATAAACAGCAGAGAATGGATTAACCCATAAAAAATATTGATGCACTTAAGTTAACTAGCAGCAATGAAAGTGCCACTTTATAAGTCTGTAACGACTCCTGACAGCCTGCAAACGGATAAAAAAAATGGTGTATAACTTGTATAACTATGTTACTGCCTATAGCAAGCAAGAGAAAACTATTAGGACTTTTGAAGCCTTTTTAATACCTTTTGAGGAAACTAGATTCACCTTATATTACATACAGGAGGAGTGGAGATATGGAGTGGAGATATAGGGAGGAGTGTAGTCTTTCAACCAGGTGATGGGTCACCAAAGTGGTCTGAGTTGAGCCGACTTATCCTCATAACAGAAACACTGATTATCATAAAGGCAAAGTGAAGCCCGGGTTAATCATTGAAGAAGAAGTGTAAGATCAACTCTAACAGCCTCGTGTCAAGGCCTTAAAGACGCTTTAGAGGCCCCTGATACAACTTGTGGAGCAAAGTTACAGAACAAAGACTCATAGTTGGTACTTGTGCAGCTTTTATCTCTGAGCTTGAACTTAAAAATGTCCCGTTGTCCCAGGGACAATAAAAATGACATCTGGGACACAAAGACAGAGCGTCTGGGACAGTAGAGAAATGTATGATTACAAATGAAATTAACACATTTATGCATTATAGAATATAAACTGTAAAATTTTCACTGTTAGGTGTTCAGATTAGAAAAACATGAGGTGGCAAATGCATGAGCTCTACACAACATCACACACACGTGCTTTCACACACAAAATTGAGCATATATATTCAAATATGTAGTATTTTAATTAATTCCCATGCATGCTGCAAAGCTCTTCTGCCAGGGCCGACAGCACCGGGGTCTCTCCCTCTCTTCTTGCGCAGACAGGTTTGAGCTTTTCTCTCACTCTTTCTCTCTGGATTAGGGTGTTAATATATCTTATAAGTAAATATGTTGACTACTAAAGCTTTAAACATGTTTTCCAAATATTTTTTCATTAAACTTAAGCCTATCAAGTAGTCTTAAATGTCACTTTAACATATTCTTAAACTAATTCCTGTTTTTTTTTTTTTAACACATTATACACCAAACTGTGGGGGGGGCAGCAACCCCATTACACCCCTCTAGCTCTGCCCCTGCAATAATAAATAATATCTAACTAACTTCACTAAGCGTCGCACACTGAGTGACGCAGGTTTCTTGACATTGTGGCAGGGGGCAGATGTTGTTGTTGTTGTTGTTGTTGTTGTAGCTACATTAACAGCATATATAATATAAATATAAGGTGTAGCTACAATAAACGGACCCACACACCTGAGCTGTAGAGCCGGGCAGCGGACAGGAGGCCCGGCGCTGCTCTGGAGGTCTTCAGGAGCGAAGCAGCAGTCGAGCAGAGGAAAGCCATGACAGCGACAACGACGGCAGACTGTGGTCAATGAACTTCCTCCAAAATAAAAGCCCTTTCCGCTTTAGTATTCTTCTTGGTTGGTGTTTTTTTTTTTTTAATGCGGTAGCGTGAGCATAAACTCGAGTTACCGCCACCTGGTGTCTGCGGAGTGTTATTACTGTGTTAGTATTGCTTATTCTTACTTATTGTTTTTTTTTTTTATGTTTTATCCCAGAAAAAGAAATCTATTTAATTAATTATGTAGAAATAACATAATAATTGTGAATTGTATTTATTATATTAGGTTACCATACGTTTATTCAATATGAATCCTGGTAATGTTGACAAAATGTATATAATTCAGTAATGTTCAATTTACATTTATCTCGTGATTTTTAGTTTTAATTTAAAAAGATAGATAGATATTTGGTAAAACAGACAATAACCACAAAATCCTAATGTAAACATGTTCACAAAAGGATTACATGAAGGGATATTCATCAACAGGAGGTCTCCTTTAAAAAAAAAAAAAGAGAAATATAACAACCTTGTAAATATTTTTATTATCATCATCAAATTAACCTGGTTACCTTATTAAAACAGGAGTGTGATTAATAAATCAGCCAATACAATAAATAAAATAGACAAAAAAGGAAGTTAATCCAAAATAATAATATAATAAGATTTTGACAAGACTCTTCCAGTATTTGATGCTCCTGTGTGAGCGCGCAGCGCGTTCCCGCAGTCATCTGTGAACGAGCCTCCATCGTCCGTGACAATTACCTTTCATCTTTCCTCCGAGTGCCAAAACCTAACCAAGGATAAAAACACAAGGGGATAAGGTAAGCACCAACCATTAGGGCATACTGGTTAACGTGGGTGTGAATGCATACAATGTATTTCTGTTTAAATGGCCGTGTGATTCCTTCAGGCTACAATACAGTGTAGCGTTCAGGCTAATTTATAACAATACAGTGAGATGAGCATCATGCATGCATGCATTTGCGTTGTACATTATAACATACCGGTATCGTTCGTGCAATAATGGAAACATTTATACATTTATAATTCATGGCCCAGTTACCTGCTAGATCTCTGTAATGTATTTAAAATTATGGCCTTTTACTAAAAAAAACATGAAATCTTTTGATGTATTTTCATACTCATCCATTGACGGAATAATATTTCTTGTATATGAACGCTGAAAAGCCAAAAGCTCCTGTGAGCATATTTGTTTTTGCAGTGACCTACTTTAATGTAGAGGGGCAATCTGCAAGACAGAAATGTGTCTTTATGTAGACCGTATTCGACAACACTGAACTCCACAAGGATATCTCTCAGTTGTTGATCAGTGGTATAATCTGTGTTCTCCAGTTCTGTGGAGAGCATATTATGTCACATCAGTTTAGGGTGATAATCTCAATTTTATACAGAATTGTTCAGTGAATAGGAAGCATTCTTCCACCCAAAATCAAATAAATTCTGTCTGTTAACTCCAAACTCAAGATAGATGGATAATTTCTCCATTTCACACATTAAAGGTGCAGCATAACCACTACAGTGAGGCCTAAAAATGTGCTTCTCCATTATGTCCTCTTCCTGCACAGATGTCAGGAATGAACCAGGTGGTTGCAACATGCTGGACTTGCCTCCTGCTCTCGGCTTTCCTGTGTGAGCCTGTGCTGTCCAAGGGCGGTCGTGGAGGGTCCCGGGGCTCCTCTCGGGGCTCCCACTCCCGCAGCTCCACAGCGGGGAGTTACCGGGGAGGAGGCGCCTATGGTGGGACCCGCTCTCGCCTCAGGGTGGCAGGGCGGTCGTCCCCTGTTAGGGTGGCAAGTGCAGCAGCAGCAGGGGCAGCGGTGGCGGTGGCGCTAACAGCGGATAAATGGTATGCTTCTGCCTACCGCCGCAGCAAAGCCGACAGCTCAGACGAAGAGCTGGATTACTACAACAGGACCAATTACTTTGATGCACTAATGTCAGGCTCAACTCAAAATGGATCTTCTCTCTCTCAACTGTTTTCTATCATTATTGCAACGTTTTCCCCCAAATATGGACTCTTACTGGACAGTATACTGTAAATGTTCTAAGTTATATTTTCAGATTAAATCCCTAATTCGGTCTAGGACCAAGCTTCTGCCCTGGATCTGACTATAATATGCAGGACTGGCGGGAACCTTCACTGGGAAGATCGGTTAGAGGTGCAACACCAAGAACACAACAATCACAAAAACAAAAAAAAAACCCTGTACTGTATGTTTTTACACATAATAATCATCTATCTATACCAATGGACAAATGTACATTACCAGCACAGTATTCAACGTGACGTTTCGTCTCTCAGAGTGCACCTTTGTCAAATCTACATGTCTGTCTGTGTGACCGAAACTGGAGCTGAACTCAAGAATAATCAGAATTAGTTTCCCTAGAGCTTGATTCTTATGTCCAATTGAAGAAAAATCCCACTAGCCCTCATAAGAGCGGCCAGTTTTAACTGTACTGCCAAACCCAGTTGTATCTTGAAAATATAAATTTTCATAATATGCACAAAAGATGCAAAGTGAATGACTGCTCAGTACAACTTTAGTAAATTATTTGTATGTTATTGGTAGACTCTAAATATGAAGCCTGAAGTTTATATGTTATCGTTCTATGAAGTTCTCTAATTAAAAGAGTAAAAGCACCAAACAGCGTTATTCTGCCCATGAAATTAAAACTGCCTTATTATTATTTTGTAATTCTTCAATTGGACTTTTAACTTTTAGAAGAAAAATAAGTCAAATCTCTTTTTACTCCATTCTTTGTGCTGAACTTAATTACAAGACTGGCTTTAAGGATCTTGCTCAGTGATCCGAATGATGCAAACAAGTGTATTGTGTATTGGGAAAGCTAAACTGCATTTTCCACAATCTGTGCAAAACATTCCCTTTTGTAACACCTGAGATTTAGCTAATTTATTTCTCAGACCTGTGCACGAACCATGTCACGGCTGGGAGGGACGCTAGAAATCAAACTACTGCTGCTCTCACTGTTACTCGTGTCTCAGAAGGTTTGTCTGTCCGTCATCCCAGAAGAGCTTTTTACCTGCAGTAGACACTCAGGTGCAACAGACTGTTCCATATCTATAAGTGCACTCTATTATATGCTACAACACTTATGTACATAATAAATAGTTTGTTATGACTGTCTTTATGCTAATAAATATCATGTTTACACCGTGTCAGTTATTGGTCTCATGTATTATAAAAGCAAAGCTGAGAAAAACACTTGCACCTGAATCAAGTTAAATTCTTATATTTACAAAAAAGATACAGTGCTTTGGTGCATTTTTACATCACCCAACAGAAACTCCTTCATGTCCCCAAAATGTCAAAGGCTTGAGGACGGAGACTGACTATGCTCCCTTGGAAACACTTCTGTGGTTAAATATAAATCCTCCCAGGTTGAGGGCAAACTGGAGAAACCCAGAAACAGTTTCTGGTTGTTTTCTTTAAAATGGCTCAGGTCAGTCCAGCATTACTTGTCCCAGCTCTCCTTTCCTGAAGGATCTTATGAAATCGTAAGCCGCTGCAGTGTAGTTGGGGACAGTGACGGTAATGTTTCCTGAGGGAGATGAGGAACAAACATTTTCATTAATCTTTTAGATGGTGATCACACTGTCAAACTGGAGTAAGAGTGCACATATTTCAACAAACACTGATGTGAATTTCACCCTGCATAAAGTGGTTCAACGTGGAAAACACCGTTCTTTAGTATTCAGAATAATTCAGTGTTTCCTGGTAACACTGCAAAACTGCTGGACATCTTGTTTCCAACCTTCCATTTTATAATTTCTGTTCTCATGTTATAAAAGGTGGAGAGGAGGTGGTATGACTCACTTGGCGACACCTGAATTTATTAGTCCTCTTCTACGTTTTTCACGTATATTTTATAATCTTCGTGTATCAGAAATTCTGTCATATAAGGTCATTTTGACATCTACTGCATGTTTGTCCTGGAAGACGGATATGTCCTCTGTGGCTCTTCCTGAGGTTTCTTTCATTTTTCCCCCATTAAAATGTTTTTTGGAGAGTTTTTCGAAGGTGGAAAGATAGAGGTTGTTAAATGTTGTACAGATTGTAAAGCCCCCTGAGGCAAACTGTGATTTTTGGGCTATATACATAAAATCTGGCTTGACTTGACTTGAACAAGCCAATCTGGTCAGATATCTGGTTATAATGGCAGGCATCTTTAAATAAATGTTTTGATATTTTAGGAAACGTGCTTATTCGCTTTCTTCCCGTGAGTTAGATGAGAAGATTCATGTCATCAGGTAAATATAAAGCTAGCGTCAGCCGCTGTTTAGCTTAGCTAAAACACTAGAAACAGTGTGAAACAGCTAGCTCTGTCTAGAAGGAACAAAATTCACCTATCAGTACCTCTAAAGCTCACTAATGAACATGTTATATATTGTTTGTTTAATCTGTACAAAAATAAAAGTTTAAAAATCACGAGTTGTGGTTTTGATTCGACTATTTGTTCCTTTGTCTCAGTTCAGCGCCACATCAAGCTCCTATCAGCAATTCCAGAGGTGGAAACGTGGCTACACGAGTGTCATGTTTTATGCCCCCTCATGTTTTAATGTCTTCAGCATCTGTGATATGAAAACATCTGATTTCCACACAGTCAGAGAAAGCAAAAGTGCGCCACAGAGCGTCTCTACTGCCGAGCTGCCGACAGCGCTGTCAGCCCAAGAGTCAATCACAGTGGACGGCAGTGGAAGAGGTTGTACCACCATCTGCTTTAAAAGACGGTTATCACTGGAGCAGAGAGAATCTGAGCAGCAACAGACTGGAGTGGGGCGCCCAGTGGCTCACTGAGCTAACCAGCTGCTGGCTGTAGCTTCATATTCACCGTACAGACATGGGAGTGGTATCAATCTTTCTTTAAATCAATTTAGAGATGTAGCATTAGCATCTGTAGGATTAGCATCTTCTTACCCAGTCCAGTGATGGCTTTGACCCGTTGAGTCTTTCCAAGTTTTACAGCAATTCGTTTAAGGACATTCTGGATGTCGTCACTTGGCTCTTGGAGGTCATATTTCTCTACATAACTGCACATAAACACACACATACAGTAAACAATCACAGTAAAGGAGTGCACTCATATCTACTCAGTCAGAATTTAGGGAGAAAGTTCACACCTGAACTTTGCTGTCCTGTTCAGAGAATACAGTAAGTAGTCAGCGATAATGTCTTCACCCACTAAATGGTCCAGAATAGTTCCTGGAAAAAGAAAATATGTGTTGAGCACATTGGAAAAACCTCTTATAGGGACAAATGTGACTACAATTCCTCTGACTGCAGTACAACCAAGTGTCCACATGGTGTTTCCTGAATGAAAGAATCCTGTTCTGCTCACCACATAAAGCCAGCTTCATGCCCGTTTCAACACTCTCAATCTTTGGAGGCAAGACTCCTGGTGTGTCCAACAGATGCATTATGGGTCGCTCACACACCTGATGACAAAGACAGTTAAAAATAATGTACAGAGGTGCAATGAACCCATGAACAAAACACACACAAATTCCCTCAACACTCACCTGAATTTTAGTCAGAACCGCTTTAGTTATACCTGGCTCCCCACCTACTCGAGATGCACGACCTGTAATAAAAACATTTATTACTGAAGGTGAAAATGATCCTGAACTAGCCTAATGCATCCAACAACTACTTAATTATACATACCTTTTTTCAAATGTGTTCTTCTTACTGAGTTAATAAGAGACGACTTCCCCACGTTGGGCACTCCGATCACCATCAGGCAATAATTCCTGCTCTGAAAGATTTACATGACAAGGTTAGAGTACAGCCAATATATTGGTTTATACCTGAAATATTTTAATTGTGACAAAAATTGCCATTGTCGTCATGTGGACGTTTAAATAAAGATCAGCGGAGGAGAGAAGGGTTGTGTTACTTTATAAGGATTGTTTATATCTCTTTAAAGGTAAGACTTGTTATTTTTGTGAATATGTCTTATATCTCATGTAGCTTATTGCAGATATGTTGGCATTGGTGTATAATTTGGGAAATGAGAAACAAGAAAATATGTTTAATGCTGGTCAGAGACAGTGAGTAACAGCTGTAAAATGTCTACTGGGCTTTCATGTTTAACTTACTTTTCTCAAGTAGAAATTAACTTAAATATATTATTAAATTACCCGGAGTAAGCTTACCTCAAATCTGTTGAAGCGTGGCTGTTTCTTAATAATGTCCACAACCATTGGCACCAACTACAGGACAATAAACAGGAATAATTTTCACATTCACGCTCATAATTTCTATTTCATATTAGCTGAGGGGAAACTTCTGCAAACAGTCAAATGTTTAGTATCCAGAGAAGTTGTGCTTCACCTCTTTGATGTTGTCATCTCTCTGCTTTAAGCAGTCGGTGAAGATGACATTCCTCACGCCATTATTTTCTAGTGTCGTCAGGATTCTCTGTAGAGCGAATGTAAAGATTTTGCGTTAATGATTTTAAAATGCCGAGGATATGTAAACGCTAAAATAGCAGCAAGACTTCTCACCTGCTTGCTGGACAAATCAGCAAGGTCCATCTTGTTGAGAATTAGGAGATGAGGTTTGACATCTAGATTCTCCTGAAACACAGGGTTTCTTCCAGAGAAGGGGATGTGCTTTGTGTTAAAGAAACTCATTTTATTTCTGCAGTGAACAGCAGCATGGTCACATTAACCTGCCTGGGATTCACAGGGTCAAAATGACCCGCTGCAACCCCTGTTAAACTCCTCTTAGACTCTTTTTAATACGCTTTTTATATGCTACTACCTGGCCAAAGATGTGCAGGGTGGTGATTTTCTTTAACACAATAACTTAGAAACATTAAATATTTAAGCACAAAACTTGAATAACAGATGTTGGAAAGAGCCTCAAACTCCTAAACTGAAAATGTAAAGGGAACAAATACTGGAAATAGTTTCTTGTGGAAGACCGAACTGGAAAAATAATATGGTTAAGGAAGAATGGTGCAGTTTTGCACAGTAGCTATGTAACCACATTAATTAAGCAAATATTCACCTTTCTTATACCAATGTCTGTTGGTTTCCTGCCTGTTCTTTGTTTTTGTTTAGTCTTTTCTTTCTGTTGTTGGATATTCTTGTCATAAAACTCAAAATTATATATATATTAAAAAAAAGAAATAAGAAGGACTTATAACCACTGGAAAGCACTGCAGTTGCTCCATTCGGCAGATATTTAGTAAATATTGATATAATTCACTGATCTTCGAATAACTTTTAGAATTTATTTAAAACTTTTACGGACAAATCCTGCAAGTGTTTCCCTTATTACTGTACCAATGTGAAGATTTAATCACAGAGGTTAAAGGTTTTGGTTGTTGTTTTTTGTCTGCTGTCAGGGCTCATATTTGGTTTCTGCAAACATTATAGCACCTAAGAGTTTAATCTTTAAAAAAAACACTTTAAAGTGACTCATTTGTCAGTTTTAACTTACAGGATGCTTTTATAACTCCTCTCATTGCGTTGTGACTCTCGCTTAGATTATGTGTGGTCTATTATTCTACCTGACTGTGTTATTGTTGTGTATTTTGTACATAAATGTGCATTAATATTATTCTGGCACTACCACAGAATACAGAACTACTACTATTATTAATACTAATGCTGTGATGGCATAATCTGGATTGATTTACATATTAAATGAATAATTTATTCTGCTATATTACAACATAAATTCACTTTTTAAAATAAAGGATATTCTGGCATCGTGGATTTCTATGATGCAGTCCACACTCTTGAGGTTGGCTTTCATCTGCTTCAGTCCTACAAACAGTAAAGTACATTATTATTGTTATTATGTGACCAGTTATAACACACAGGACTGCTTACTTCTCACAAGGTATAAACATTTATATTCTGGAGGTTTAGGCTGTCACCTTTGGCCATGTGTCCGGGGAACCAATGAGCCACGTCCCGTCCACCGAAGTCGAACACGGTCCTGAACTTGCCGACATTACGGAGAGTCTGGTACAGTTTCATGGTTCAAACTAAAATATCACAGCGTCCGGCTCTCATTTGTGTTATTTAAAGATTTATTTAGACCTACCGGCTACATAACCTCTTGCTGCACTGGTGCGGTGCTACACTGTTTACATTCCGACTCGAAATCTTTGTTCCTCCTGTAAGACTTCTTCTATATGGGTTTTTTTTCTTTTTTCTCGTGTTACTGCCCTCTTCAGGGCAAACAGAACATTACTTTAACCACCCTGTATTTTTGCAGGAATATCTATGAATACCTGCCTTTATAATCAGAAAGATTTATTAGAAAAAGTAAAAGCCCTACATCAAACTAAAGTTAAAATCCCTTATAAAATGTAATCTATCCTCTACTGTTTAATGGCGGGTGGCTACCAACGTTACAGTGCTTGGCCAGTTCGAAAAAGTGCTTCAAACGTGCCTTTTTGGATGCCTGTGGTTGATAAAAAATGATAAAGTGTCCTCTAAGTTGGCCCCTCAGACTGCTTGAGTCTACCACTGCTTTTGGTTGGTACTTAAAAACTATTTATCTGCCTAATCTCTTTTAAATTTACTATTATAAATCCCTGACCCAAGATTCAATTATTTCTGCTAATCCATAATATTGCCTCAGTTGCCCTTTGTATCTCTCCTGGATATTTTTGGTCTATTCATATTACATGCTCTAATGACTCTTCTGTTGAACAACAATCACGTAACCCAGACAGATGTTTGCCTATTAAGGGCATTTGTCCCAACATCAACCTTGTTCTGTTCATAGTCAGACATATATAGTTCCTATTAAGGTGTAATACATTTCAAAATCCAGCATGAATGTGTTTCTTACTTTGCCCAAACGTTTCAAATCTTTTTCTGATAAAATGCAATTTTTGGGAAGTTTGTGTCAACTTTAGTCTTTATCATGCAATTATAATAATTTGAACAATAATTATTTCATGTTTGTCAGCCCAAACACTCTTTTTATGGCTATGTATGTTTCACCGTAACATTTAAAATTAAACAATAAATAACAAATTAGAAAGAAACAATTAGAACTTTATAAAATGTTTCATTTACTCGTTGACTTAAAACAGAACAGTTAAAATAATGTAATAATACATTTATAATCTATTAAAGATATATATGACAGTTAATTACAATCACCCATAATCAATAATTAGATTACCAACAGGGAAAGTTGAAAACTGTATGGAATTCAGTCTTAAAACAAGACAATGAAGTTACAAAATCACAATTAATTCTTGAAACTGCATTTGTTATTGAGCTGATTCGTAAACCGGAATATAACGTGTGTAATTACATTTCAAGTTCATTCCTTTTTCTTTACTAAGATATACAAACAGACCTTTAATCAGTTAATATTTAAAGCATTAATGTATTAAATGAAAATATGAACTGTATTGATCATTTGCGTATTTTGCCTTTCATAGTTGACATTATTTCAATGCACAGAAATCAGCACTGTCACAAGATCTGAAGGAAGATTTTAGGTGACTGATTTAAATAAACAGGAGGTTTACACACAGTGGCAGACTTTGGCTACACATCTGATAAATCTCTCATAGCAGCATTGTTCAGTTAAAGCTTTGACTTGTGCAGCTCAGACGGGCTGATGGAGGAGTAGTGAGAGATGAGTCGATCAGCTTCTCTCCACCCGGTGAGAAGAGCTCCATGGACCGTTGAGTAGTAGCAGGGATGAGTGGCCTCACCAGCAAACAACACCTGCAGGGGCTGAAACAAACGAGACAGTTAGAACAAAAAGAGTCTAAATCCTTAGTTAATTATGTGTGAGTTTGTATGAATGCTCGGTGCACACATTTGGATTCAAATATAAACATGTAGGTACATGTGCTTGTGATCCTTTCGTCGGCAGGGGCTCCATCATGTTCTCCAGGTCCTGCACCGAACAGCCTTTTCCAGGGTAACTGTAGGATCCGCACGTCCAGGGGTCGTGAAACCACTGTGAGCGAAGGATTCTCCTCGGTGTGATGGTCGGGTTCCCTGAACACATACAGTCATTCTACAAGTGCTGATAGAGATCATTCTAAAACGACCAGAGTTGGGGTGGTCGTCCAATACTTGTGACTTAATTAAACTCACCTGTAAACCTGCGGATGAGTTGTGTGACGTTTTGCGTGACCTCCTGTTCAGACACGGTCTCCATATACTCTGACTCGTGCCCGGCAATCCAGCCACACAGAACATGGCCATACCTGAAAGTTAAACCACACAAGACTGTTTCCCTAATCCAAAAATTTGCCCGTTATTTTCTGTTGAATGCAACATAAACAAGCTCGGCATGCATCAGCTTTTGCATGCCTAATGTGTTTGTAGTACTGACCTCTCAGTGGGCTTTAGCACAGTGAACCCAAACAGCTTCTTTATCCAGGATCTCTGTACATCTGGCACCTCGTCCAGCATGACATCCTGAAAGAGATAAAACAGTTTAGGTGTTGTGTTAGATCATTTGCTAACTCGTGGCATACACATTTCTGGGATACGTGTGGGTTGAGAATAAGACATAAAGGTTACTGATTGTTGACCTCATGCTCGATTATAATGAGGATTATTAAGAGTCACTGCATCACTTTTGTTTCTGATGGTCGAGGATGATCAGATAATTTGCTTTACATTTTACATTTAAAGTTTAATTAAGTCCAGCGTGTGTGCACGTATTTTACAGTAAATAAACACCTTTACTCATTGACTATACGTCTTACCTCATCTTCCCATAGGAGATAGATGACTTCACAGTCAGCATCCCACCATGGTGAATCAAACTCCACAAATATTTTATTGTTTGTTCCAAAACCCAGTCTCTGGACAGAGTGCAGCTTGTGTAGCGGGAGAGGAGGACGGAACAGGGCTGAATGGTGCTTCTTTAGGTATCCTGATGAAACAGATCAAACCAGAACAAGTTAGGTTATACCAAATATCATATTTTAGTACCACATGAAAAAAAATCAAATGTTCTGGTAATAAAATAATATCAACCTTTATTTGTATAACATTTTTAACAAGAAAGTTAATGTACAAAATTAGAGCGATATTATGCTTCATACTGTAGTTTTAGTCGTTCAAATTGAAATATAGAAAAGAAAATGTTTAAAAGTATCTTCTATAAGTAGAGAATCCACACATGTTTTCACTTATTTTGCCTGGTTAGACATCTGACTGACCTGTCTATTAGTTTTATATTCGCTGGAAGAAATTACATCTTTACGTTGGGCCATAAAGTTTGGTGAGCTCATGTAATTCCAGCATAGACTCACCAAACTTCAAGGTGAGCCGAAGTCTAATTAGCCCAAATAAGTGAAAACAGCAGTGTGGGTGTGCAGATAAAGAAACTGCTATCTGAGTCATGTCTATTGTGTTCTCCATGTGCGTGCTGTGAAGAGTTTCATAAAAGTTAGAGCTTGTTTGTCGTAGCACAACCTCAACATTTCACACACTGAGATGGAAAATATTCTACCTAGAGGAACTGTGACAATAACATGATCCGCAGCGATCCTTTCCCCAGCATCGCATTCAATGATCACAGGGTTTTGTTTCTTCTCTGTGTTGTTCCAGTGGACGCAGTGCACAGGCTGATTGTAGGTCACTAAACCAGTGGGGAGCTCCGACATCAAGTTTTTGATTAGACCTTCATAGCCACTGCACGAGAAAGAAAATGTCTTCGTCAACAACACATACACATACTGTTTACACGCACATGTGCTGTAACAATCAGTTAATTTACAGACTGGATAATGTACTTTGGTACTGTATGTATCAGGTAAACTGAACAGCTGCAAGGTACACTAAGATTTGTTTCTTCACCTTTTTCTTATGTCACTATAAAAGGTATCCTTTGTTCGCCGGTCTGACAAGCAAATGCAAGACACCACTTTTACTTATTAATAAACATGTAAATGTAGGAAATAATGACTTAATGAATTTGATTACATAAGTAACTGTAAGTTGCTGCACTGTACGTATGCAGTGTTGGGGTACGAACCCTGGGAATGTACAGTCCAGTCCAGGTAGAGTCTCATAGAGGCCAAAGGCCCCCAGGCCCACCTCATCCATGCTGTGAGACCCATTAACACAGCACTCCACCTTCAACATGTTAGTGATCGCACACAGTCGCAGAGACCTGGTGGTTGCATCAGTTTCTTTCCACTTCTCTGCTGCTCGTTGATGCATCTGTGCCAGACAGCAACACCAAGAAAGTCTTGATTTTTCTTGCCAATCCTGGCTGGCAGCTGATCTCAGATACTGGTATCTAACTAATAATTAATTTAATTACTAAAAGAAATGTACCTCTGACCGTATGAAGTCTCCCACGCTGGCACAGGGTTCTCCTCCTTGACTCTGAAATTCTGAACTTTCAATCAGCAGCTCAGCAAACATCTCCTTAGCAGGATTCATGTCCTCGGCATTCAGCTTCTGACCTGCACACGTTACATAACCCACAGCATGCTCATTAAAAAAATACAGCAAATATAGCACTTATATCACTTCAGTCACGCACTCTTGTAAGTAATAAATAATCCAACTAAAAACTGGTTACATATTCCAATAAATGCAATAATACAAAAGCACTTGCAACCGTATCTGTAACTCATTTTAGTTTTGTATATTCGGTTCAAATGCTGGTTTCATTCTGGCCTTTCCAGTTTTACTTTAAACAAGCATTGTGTTAGTGCCTGAGGATTTCTACAAAGTACACACCTACAATATCCCCTTCACTTGTTTGTGACTTGTGTATCAGACTGCAGTAAAAACTTAAGTCTTATCTGAAATCAACCCAATCTGTGCAGCCGCCACGATGTTATAAGATGGCAAATAACATCTGCTTCTCCTCTCTATTTAAATGAGAGTGTAACCAAAATACAGTAATTTATTTAGCCTGAAAATCCAACAGAAATCACTCTTTTATTTTGGAGGTATAATCATCTTTTACGTCCAGTATAGAGAGTAATAGGGCCGAACCATATGAGGTACAATAGGGCACTCTGTGGTACACTTTCATATTATATTCATACTATTTTGAGCTATCTGAGAAATCGGTCTTAAAATAGTTGACCTGAACTGGTGTAGTAGTTGGGAACCCAGGGGGGATGTCCTCCAACGTCCATGGCTTGGTTCTCCGGGGTGAGGGACTCTGGATCCAGGAGCCCGTACTTGCGGGCCAGACAGAACACTGGGTTCTCTTCGCAAGGTCCGTGGATCCAGTTTGCTCCGATCTCAACAATATTATCACCTACAGATGAAAGATATTGCACAGTTGCAGAAAATAATTTACAGGAGACATGTAAATAAAAACTCAATCTGTAATCTTACATCATGTTTTAGGGTGGAACCCCATTTCTCAAAGGTTAAATAGTTAATAAGCAGCTGTCAGTAACACACAAAGGTTGGGAGGAGCACTTAAAAAAGGTAATCTGATACATTTACTAATTACCTGTTAATAAATACAGTCAGCAACCTAATCTAAGTATCACAATATTAAAGTAACATACATTTTGGATTACCCCAACACCAAATAAGCACATAAAGAAGAGAAACAAGAGAAAAGAAATATCAATAAGATGAATGTTTATTGTATTTTAGACAACAGAACAGAAAAGAAAAGAAACTTCTTAAATAAACTGAGCATCAAAAATGTGTTTAAGTGTATTTTTAAAAGATAAACTTGCTCAGGCAGTAGCTTATAGACCATTTTCATGAAGGCATAACTTGCTTACTATCCTAAAATACTTTTGTATCCGGATTACATAACTCTCTTACATGTAATCAGTTACTCCCCAGGCCTGATAACACATACTATATAAAACCCAGCTGTCTCTCTCAGCCCTGCTCTATGGACCAGAGGGAGACATAAACACTGAGAGATAACGGACTTCCTGTTAGGGACCTACAACCTGAGGCTGCCCAGGAAACATTTATTTTCTCTTATTTGCTAAAAATAAATAAAAAATATGCTGGCAAAGTTGTAAGAAGTCGGTCGCTTACCCAGTTTGCCTGTTTTTATTCGTCCTCCGCTTCGTGCAGTCGCTTCAAGTATCCTCACATGCTGAAATCCGGCGTTAAGGAGCCTGTGTGCGGCTGCTACACCCGATATCCCGGATCCTATTATCACTATATTAGCGCTCACACTCTTAGCCATAGCTGGGTTAAACTGTAGGTGGTTTACTACACTAATATCTAGCAGTACTACTGACTACTGCGCAATCCTACTACCTCTGGAGGACAGAGGTTTGAGGAGGGAATAATGTTTTCCGGTCAAGAGTTTCAAAATAAAAGTCGATTGTTGGAGGCTGGCACCGTTATATGTTGTTGTGAATGCGTCAGGACACAGTTGAAAGGTCACAGGATGTTATGTTCAGCCCATAGACAATCTGACCCCTCACCTCAGATGGCATTAGTTATATTACCTTTTTTTAAAAATCACTCATACAAGAGCATGTCAAGCCTAAGTCATTATTTTGTAAATACAGTCGATATTTGAATTTTTGCTTTAGCTGTTTCATGATTTCATGAGTTTCTTTTATAGTTGCTGTGAATAAAAACGCTGCAAAATAGGCCTCTTGGGTGACCCTGAGGTAGATAAAACATGATAAAATGCCGTCTATAGTGGCTCAGTGTGCATGAAAACCCCTCTAGGTTGCCATTGTGGTGGAGGAATCCCGATGCGGTGCCATATTGGTTGCCCCACATGCTAGAAAATGAGTTGGCCTCTAAATGGTTAAATAGTTTATGGTTCCCTGTGGGTTTTTTATTACAGAGTTGTAGGCCAAGTAGTTACACATTAAATCTGAGTCACATAATAAAACATTTTTTATCTCAACCGGGGTTTGGAACTGTTTCACCCTTAGATATGCTGTCAATGGTTTCAACATAAATGCATCAGAGCTTCCTACGAGCTGGTGCCCCATGCAGCTACTAGCACCTGTCGATCAGAGAGCCCACCCCTCATGGCAACATTATACTGCGTACACTGTACAACTGTGTCCATATTCATGTTAAAACCCAAGTTCACCAAATGTTCATTAGTTACATGGTCCCTCTATGTGCTGTATATACACTATTTATATGTTGGAATACTACTTGGCCCAAAACCTGCTGTGTGGTAATTTAGTGAAACACATTAAGTCAGGAATATGTAACCTGTAAGCAGGGGCCTTCTTCAAACAGGGTCCGTTGACACAGGGTCTCAAGATGAGATATTAGAGCAGAGCTCTTATCATGTCAGTTGATATTGTGCTTCATCATTCTTGCTACCAAACAAATGTTCAATCAATATTACATACAGTAAGCCTGTCAGCTGCCCTCGGGGCCAGGTTGACACTTTTATTGCCCCCTATTTACTTGACCCCAGGGCACTTTCTGCAATACAAACAAGAAAGATCATGCCGCTGCTGTCAGGTTTCACTTGGAAGAACACAAAGGACAACATGCAAAGCTGTTAGCCTTTCACCTGATAGAATGACTGCATGGAATCAGTCAAACAATATGTACCCTTACAATACCACGAATAGGTATGCTTACACCTGCAAATAAATCAATACAAATGTTTACTTTCACTTCTTAACAGTGATTCTTGTCTGTTCACTTATCCAGCAAACACTATTAACATGACAAATAAACACAAACAGAACAGAAGATCTTTCAAGTCAGGCGAGGGGACCCAGACTCATCTTCTCTGGGTTTGCCTGAAAGTTTAATATCCTCTACTAAAATGTCCGTTATCTCCTTCCAGAGGTGATTGAACACATTTTGCGCAGCTTCCTCTTTGAGCCTCAAAAGGCTTTATATGTTTTTCAGATGCTTTTTGAAGTAATGCCCAAGAGACGTATAAAATCAGTGCAGTTCTTCTTTGAAATCCATTGGATGAAAAGTACGAACTTCGTAAATTTGGGTGTAAAAACATTAAATGTCTCTATGCATCCAGCCTTTTTTTTATTGGCTGATGCAGGAGTAGTGAGAGATGAGTCGATCAGCTTCTCTCCACCCGGTGAGAAGAGCTCCATGGACCGTTGAGTAGAAGCAGGGATGAGTGGCCTCTCCAGCAAACAACACCTGCAGGGGCTGAAACACACAAAACAAGTCAGAACTGAGACACATTTTGGTCAAAGTCCTATTTTGCTAATTGATAATGTATTTGTACTCTGTATACAAACGTGTGTCTTTGTGTTAATAAAATATATTAATGTGTGTACCTGTGAGTGAGATCCCTTCGTAGGCAGCGGCTCCATCATATTCTCCAGGTCCTGGGCTGAACAGCCTATTGCTGGATGAGAGTACGATCCACACGTCCAGGGGTCATGAAACCACTGTGAGCGCAGGATTCTCCTCGGTGTGATGGTAGCGTTTCCTAAACACAAATGACCAAGACTCAGAAACATTTTTAAAATCTCTTGTATTAGCTCCCCCACAAGTTCTGGACAGTGAGGTAGTGATAAAAGGCATTTCACCAGAACTAATGAGAATTAATTCAGGCCAACTTAAAGGTAGGTTGGATTTAGTGGCACATCACTCCACCCTCCCTTTCCAATTAACATTAACAATGTTATGGATCAATTGTCAAAACAGTAAACTGATTAACAACAGATTACATAAATTACATTATTTATGTACACAGTCTTAAGATCCTCTACCAAGAATAAAGCAACCTTACTGACACCTCTTTATCAGGGCCCAAGCTTTTTCAACAAGACACTTCCTTCAACCCTCAAGGCTGTTAATGCTCACTTACATTGAGTCGAAATATGTACAGTTTGGCCAGAAGGTGGCACCAAAGGAAAGGCCACCACTTGTGTCAACATCTTCAACTGGGATGCTTGTATTTCTCTGAATTACACTTTTGAGTATTAGAAGTACTATTAAATATTAAAAACACTTTTCTAATTGTTTTCTTCAAATATAATTTTGTTAATAGACTTTTTTTCCTTATTTCTCTCACATCTTTATGTGATATGCTGCATTTGCTGTCGTTCATTGTGACTGTCTTCCCCTTTGCAAAGCAGTTTGCAATTCTACTTTATGAAAAAATAAAACAGTAATAAACAATAAAGTATTACTGTCCAGTTTCATCCAGTTTCAGGACGGTTACAGGTTGCGACTCACCTGTGAATGTGCGGATTAGCTCTGTGATGGAATCTCTGACCTCCTGCTCAGGGAGCGTCTCCATATACTCTGACTCGTGCCCAGTAATCCAGCCACAGAGAACGTGGCTACACCTGAGAGTTTGAGCACAATTAGCAAGAGGAGTCACGTGGCTGCATGGCTCTCTGAATCTATCCATAGAAGATTTATATAGAGAAGAAAGAGCAACTGTCACTGATCAGGTATCCAACACATTCCTGACCTTTCAGAGGGTTTTAGCACAGTGAATGTTGACATCTTCCTTATCCAGGATTTGCTGATGTCTGACACGTGGTCCAAAATGTCCTCCTGAAGACACAAAGGGTTGTAAAACCAACAATTAATGTGTGCAAGTATGTATTTATAGGGTTTGTAAATGTGATCTGTGGTCCATGGCTGCACTACAGACCTCATCTCTCCACACCAGGTAGATGACGTCACAGTCTGCATCCCACCACGGGGAATCAAACTCTACATATATTTTGTTGCACGTTCCAAATCCTAGTTTGTGGATGGACTGGAGCTTGTGTGTCGGGAGAGGAGGACAGAACAGGGTTGAATGGTGCTTCTTAAGGTACCCTGATAATAAGAAAAAAGTTCATGCTTACACGCTGTTTAACCATCAGAGATCTTGCCATACAATGTATACTGACATAACTCTTTCTATAATTACTTATATTATATCAGGCCACGACTGTTTTTCATTGATTTGTCAGATATTGCTTGACCAATCTTACAGAAAACTAAAAATTATATAACTTATATTGATATTACAATATAAAATTGATAAACCATAACAAGAGGATCCATATTGATCATTCTATTTCATGCACTGAGATGAATATAATACAGGATGTGTGCAGAAGTCTACCTAGAGGCACTGTGACAATAACATGATCAGCAGCAATCCTCTCCCCACCATCGCATTCAACAATCACAGTGTTCACTCCGTTCTTGGTGTTGTTCCAGTGGACGCAGCTCACAGGCCGATTGTAAGTCACTAAATCAGCGGGGAGCTCAGACATCAAGTTCTTGATTAGGCCTTCAAAGCCACTGCAAGAAAACAGTATAAATGAAAAGTTACCTGTATGCACATTCCTAACCCTCTGATCTCAACCAAAATATTATACAACATTAAAGTTGTTTTGTGGTGTAATCCACCTAATTTATTGTCTAAATTACTGCCAATTAATTTTCTGTCTATTTGACTTATCTATTAATCAACTAATCATTTCTGTTCTGCTTATTTATAGCATGAACGCTGCCACCTGACGAGGTGGTGAGTGCATTGACCCGTCTCAGGTGCATCGTCAGAGTAAACCAACAGCAAAGAGGGTTGAGTATATTCCCTCATTTAGTCTGATAAATACCCTTTATTTGGTATGTATGAACATGTTTATGAGGCTCTGTAGTCATTCAGCTATGAGACACTGAATGTGGTCAGCATTGGTACTGCGTGTTTGGTTTTTTAATTTCTTGTCCTGATGACTTATATGTCTCTGTGTTGGGATTGCTGATGTTGTGCACCCTAGTGGGAATCTTGCATTGTTCTTCTGTTGTATGTTTTAGGGTGATTGTTGTTCTTGGGTTTAGTTTTTTAGTTTTTCATATTTCATGTTTTATCTTGACTGTTCTTACAAAGAGTAAGCTTTTGATTTACTACTTGGCTACTGATGAAAATGAGCATTTAACTATGTGCTACAATAAATGTATTGTGCATTGTCCCTGCTAAATAAACATAAAATTTAAAAAAGTAAATAAAAAATGATGGCGTACAAACCATGGGAATGTGCAGTCCAGGCCACTTAGACCCTTGTACATACAAAACCCCACCAGGTCTATCTCATCCATGGAGTGAGCTGCACTGGCACAACACTCCTCCTTCAACTTGGCACTGACGGCACACAGTAGCAGCTTCCTGGTGGATTTATCCTTATCCTTCCACCTCTCTGCTGCTCGCTGACGTGCCTGCACACACAGTAACCAAACAACACACACACACACACACACACACACACACACACACACACACACAGAGAGAGAGCACTAATGCAGATGTCTGGTTTCTACAGGCTTCAGTTTATCCTCAAGAGCTTCTCAGATCTCAGACCAGAAAAAATAACTTTGGTCACTGAAAGACAACGTACCTCTGATCGTATGAAATGTCCAACGCTGGCCCAGGGTGTTTCTTCTTGATTCTTAAATTGTGAAGTATCATTCAATAGCTCATTAAACATCTCCAGAGCAGGACTCATGTGTTCAGTGCTCAGCCTCTGGCCTGCACATGACCCACAGAAAATAAAACATTTATTACAACAATGTTTTTCAATAGCCAGACAACTGGACACATTATGTTTGTCATTGTATGGGATAATGCAAATGCACATGGCTTGAAATAGGAAGAAAGGTGTGTTAAAACAGGCTGGTGACATGTTGAATTTTTACTTCTGGTGACCTGAACTGCTGAACCAGTTGGGAACCCAGGGAAGACGTTCATCGATGTCCATGGCCTGGTTCTCTGCGGTGAGGGCCTTTGGATCCAGGAGCCCGTAGTCACGAGCCAGACAAAACAGTGGGTTCTCCTCAGATGGACCATGGATATAACTTGCACCTATCTCCGCAATGTTGTTACCTGTAGAGGAAAACCAGGACTATGTGGTTACACAGTTACATTTACAACTAACATTCAACATGTATCGCACTGTCAAATGTCAGGTGCATGATATTTTGTGGTGTATCTGTAGCACTCAGTTGATGAAGAGGAGGTTTGCCAACAGGTGATGCAATTCACAACATAAAATAAATGTGTACTGTTTCAGTTTACTCATCCTTAAAGGCAATTTGTTTTCTTAGAAAAAATAAAACTGTTGGCCTGTTGATTGTTTCAAGCTTTCAGATTGGTCAGCTGATTTCTGCTTTTCTGGCAGCATTAAGAAGTCTTTACACATCATAGGGAAATAAAATATAATAGAGTGTGAATAAAGAAAATATGGAATATGAAAAATCCAAAGAAATTGTTTTGTTTCATGGAAAAAATATGAGGGTGGTAGTGATGGGAGGGGACTTAATGTGCCAGTTATCCCCTCCATTGTAACACAGTGGAGTCAGTCATCTCCCTTGCAAATACCTCAACATCAGTATGGCTAAAATGATTTGCTAAAAACCGACTGACAGAGAAGGCTGCACATATAGTCGCTCACCCAGTCTGCCTGTTTTTATTCGTCCTCCGCTTCGTGCAGTCGCCTCTACTATCCGCACATGATGAAATCCAGATTTAACAAGTCTGTGTGCCGCTGCGACACCTGATATCCCGCATCCGATTACAACTATCTGTGGGTCTGCAGACATACTCGCTTCACATTCAACAAATAGCCTAGTATTTCCCAAACTCGTTTAAAGTTCACTTCCGGACTTGAGCAGAAGAATCGATAAAGCTGCGTCGCTGTGAGCTCGTATGGACACAGTACTGTATTCTCTACCGCTACACATATCATTCATAGGATATGAATCCCGTACTAAACCTGTACGGACTTCACTTCGTGCGCACTGTGACCTCCGCCAGCCGTTCTCCAAGTTGTTATTTTACGCATTTTGATGAATCTTTTCCCTAAATCAGGTCCTGGTGAAGGAGCAGTCCCGTGACCAGAGGAAGACAATCTTGCCAGGCAGCTGGACTCGCGAGATAACCTCTGGGACGGTCATTTTAAAGTGTTCATTACTCATATAGTGTTCATTAATCATTCAAATGGACAATGGACAATGGGAATATCGTCCTACATAAGCTATTTATATTTGATCTATTAATTTATTATTTTATTTATATTCTTGGACGAAATTCAAGGGAGGAATCGATTAAGTTAAACTAATTGTGTGATCATGATGCTTATGCAAGATGCAATGTGTGTTTTTTAGATTTCCACATACAGTGCATTACCCTTTAATTACCCTTTTTTTTTTTTTTTTTTTTTTACAAAATACTTAACATAATATTGTAAATCTACACGATAAACTGTCCTGTATATGGTGCCCTTTGTAGTGGAGAAAGTACATCTGCCCAAAATTTGTAGAAAAGGGTTTGGAACAGTTAGACCATAAATACATCACAACTTGATGCCCCACCACATGCAGCTGTTGCCCTTAGTATTTACTCAGGCAGCCTGAGTCCGCCACTGCTCCCAGTGTCTGTCTGAGAACCAACCAGTGGTTCAGTTCAGCCCAGCCAGATGGTTGCTGGATAAAAGCTCAGACCTGCACTCGCCATCATTGAAGTCAACAGTGTCAGTATATAAACAGCTGATAGGGCTTCTCACAGGGGGTGTATGTCAGATGTGACCAATGGACGAGGTTCCTCATTCATTCCTTACTGTAAAGCATCATACAGTATTCAGTGGAATAAACTAATCTTTTCTTAAAGTAAATATATTTGTTTGATTAATTAAGTTAATTCAACTTAAAATGTCTTAATCACTCAACTTCCGAACTTAGAAGGAGTTGTTCTACCTTGAAGTATTTTTACCTGGAATAATGAGTTGAATTAATGTACTACTGAGAGTTCACTGAGCTCGTTAAATTAAGTCTCTAAAGACACATGACTGGCATGTATGCAGACTTCCCTGCATGCATTATTTGATGGTTAAAAGTGTCTAGAGGCCTCTCCTGGTTGCTTCTTTTCCCAATAATGAAAACAATATTAACCACGATGAAGGTTACCCCCTCATATTATAAAGAAGTCGACTTATAAATAGAGCGGAATACACAGTGGGTTCATGGATTGCCCCTGGAGACTGTTGAAGTCTTATTGCCTGAAGATGAAAGCTGTCTTTAAAACAAATGGTCTGCATCTTGATGCTATGATATGGTTTGTCCGAAGGCAGTAGTTTTTGTAGACATACCAGATTTCTTAAGGCATCTTAGAAAAAAACAGCCTTTGTTGTGCTCTTTCCAGTATATGCAGTCAAAGTTATCAGACAATTTCAGATTTTTAAGTTCATTTAAGTTTGTGGCCTCTCTTTTAAGAATTTGCATCAGACAGCTGGTTTAGTTTGGCAACCTTATTCACAATGGCACAATGGTGTTCAATGCTGAGCTAATAGTCTATGAACAATATAGTCAATAATCAGACTGAGGTGAGTCAAGTGAGTGTGTTTTGGGGCGTGGGGGTGGGTATTATTATTATTATCTGATTAATCAAATAACAATAATGGTCAAGTGACTGTAGGTCAGTGTTTAATATTACAACAGTCTTGCTTGTTTGTGAAACTGTGGGAAAAAGGAACAGCCCTCCACTCTCAGGATACCTCCATTGTGTAATGTTGATTCAGGTTCTCTCTCTCTCTCACACACACACACACACACACACACACACACACACACACACACACACACAAACACACAAACACACAAGCTCATGGGAACAAGTTGGCAAAGAGGGTCACTCAGAAGAACAATGCTAATCTTTGCTCCACTCGCTGTGGAAGTACAGGACGTAATAAAGATGGCTGTTTTCTTTGTGAGAAGTCCGAGCTGGGTATTATGTTTGGTGTCAGCAGAGATCCAACAGCAAGTATAAAGGCCACACAAAAACTGATTTATTACATAAAAAAGGTCAGAGAAAACATTGCTAAAAACAGCTTGTATAAATATCCATATTTGCAGTAAAAACTGTAATACAAAATGTGAATATATTAATAGCAGAGATATCAAAATAGTGATACACTCCATAGAAATAACAAAACAGATCATACAAACTGTTGAGATATGTAATTCTAAAAGTAGAAGCACATTGGTGTATGATATGGTCCTATTGCAGCCTTTACTTTTACCCTTATAGCTCTACTTCTACATTCACTACAGCATCTGGAAATGTTCCCATCGTAAATCAACTCTTTAGTGTTGTACCCACCCCTTCCCCTCACACACACACACACACACACACACACTCATACACCCCCCTACACACACACCCAGGTTACTTCGGTGCACACATGCATTCAGAAACACTCATTCTCTGTCACTGGTGTGAGCTTTGCTGTCGAGCTGATGTTGAATCATAGACTTCAGAGCACTGTACCTGCAGAGGAGAAAACACATGATTAAAGGCTCTGACACACTCTTACACGCACACACAAGGCCCTCAAATAGGCACATTTCAATACATTTGTTTACATTAATATGTGACCTATAAAAGCACAACTATTACTACTTTTCCCAACATCAGTTGCATCTATTACTCTAAAGCAGGAGTCTCAAACTGCCGCCATTTACTGTGAACAACAAAGATTATACAAAATGATGATTTAAAACTGTACAGAAACTGCTGTTTGCATTATTTTGTTAAGTATGATATTAGTAAAGGAAATATCCTCCTATGAGATGACAATACCAGCAGTGGCCCCAAGCCAATTTGAGTTTGAGACCCTTGCTCTAAAGGATAAGGCTGGTGTTATTTGAAAGACCCCATCCAACAATGTGTTACTTCGTTGGTCTCCTTCCTGACCCCGTCTGTGGCTCTCAGCCCCAAGCACCAAATAAACTAGTGAGTGTTTTCATTGTGATGAAGCAACATATCACCCAGTGCAGCAGTGAGGCTCACTGATGTTTTTAATAGTTTTTGGATAGCAGTGGGGGTCAATGGCAGAGAGGAGTAAGCTAACAAAGGCAATAATTGTAAGCAAGATCAATTTATTTATGGTTTATAGTAAAAAATCAACAAGCTTATGAATTATAATGAGTGTGTGTTGTAAAATATCCCTGCATGTGTAGTAAAAAGAAGCATTTATTTGAGCCCACATGCCGTACACACATAAAAACACACAGTCAGGATTACAGGGTCATATGAGTTGATGATTACACAATTATGCAAACAGTGAGTGTTGATGTTTTACACAAACACAGTCCTCATTGAAGGCCTTGTTTTGACTCTGTTATTCCGGCAGGAGACGCAGATATTGGTTTCACATAATGAAATAGATCAGTGTCGTTAAAGGAGGCTTTGTGAAACTTGTTTTGTAACTCAGTTTGCTGAGTAGAAAGACTCTTGACTTACTTTTTGGTTAGTTTGTTTATCTCACGTTCCTCTTCCTCTTTAAGTTTCTCTACAAAGCTGTCTAAAACAGGAATCTCAAACTTTATGTATTGGGCAACCTGGGAAGAAAAAAATTCAAGCATATCAGCACGAGCAAGCCACACAAGCCAATGATGATATGACCAATATTGTAGCTACACAGGAATCCAAAAAAAACCAATAAGACAATAAAAGTCATAAAAATAACTTCAAAACAAGATAATAAAGGATAAAACACAGTGGAATAGGTTTACCACTATCTTCGGCGTCAGTTCACCACAATTACAACAAAAAAGAACCAAACAAACAAACAAAAAACACATATTTCACATAAAAAACAAACAAATTGGAAAAACTGGTTCTAGAAACAGCTTTACTATTTTTCCACAGAAATTACTATGAACAAGGACTATATTCAGTGTGAAGTAGTTCTAATAAAAACGGTCTAATTTTGGCTGTGGTTCTTCCAGAGTAACCCGGAGTCTATTCCTCAAAGGAAACATTAATATTGAATATTTCCTATGTAATCTTTTAATGCTCCGAGCAACACAAATAAAATTCCATTCACCTCCATTGTGTTGGAGTCGAGGCAGAAATAATAAGTGGATATTTCAAAACCTGGACAAATAAAAAACAGCCACTAGACCAAAGTCTGATTTTTATATTAGATTTTTTATGAGCTGACCTTTCAACTTATGTATGTATGAAATCATAGACAATCTAGAAAAGTTCTCCAGCAACAATCCAGTTTTATTTATATTACTCAGTACAGTCACAACATACAGTCGGCCATCTTATCCCATTGTTACATCAGTCCTGACACAGGATATCTTTCCTCATCTAGCTAAATTTAACTCAACTGTCTATAACGGGTCCATTGTATCATTGTGTGTCTATGTTGAGGACGACAAAAAAATGAAAAAGGGTTCACGTATCGTGAACGAGATGAGAGAATGGAGAGAGTGGTGGCAGGAGGCCCAGACTCACATCATATGTGACTTCCTCTCCCAGGTCGGCCTCCGTGATGAGGATCTTGGAGACTTTCTCACAGGGTCCATAAAGCACTCTAGCCACCAGCGGGTATTCACCATCCCTCAGTCGAGTCCTCTCTACAAGGTCATAGACAAACAAAACAACTGAACACAAAAACACAACATTTCTATTGACAAACCCGCAATTAAAAGTTACAACTTACCACCAGACTCGTGCACCATATAAAGGACGAACTCTTCACATTTATTCTCCACCTTAAAAGACACAAATACAGATTATTATTTATTTATGGTTTTCCTGATATACCACCCGAGGTGTGTAAACCGTGTTTTACTGCTTACCCTGAACTTGTGTAGCAGCAGGTTGAGGACTTGTCCAGTGGTCATGGAGCTGTTTACTCGTACATTAGTGACCGAACCATAGGCTGGAGTGAATACAGATGTCTAGAGGCGAAGAGAAACAAACATGCATAAATCTATAACAGAGAGAACACACAGTACTGGGGACCCATCAACACTCCTAGATCTGAGAAGGGATTCCTGGACTTGAACACCTTGGACATTTTGAACAGGAAAACTAAAACAGAAAGGAAATCCCAGCAGCTGGAATCTGTTCAACAACAACACACTCACATACTGTATTCAGGAGAAACTGATGAAGGGACTCATTGTAACCTTGTACTCTGTGGCACATTAGTGAAATCAGCTCACAGCAGGCTGTTGGGAAACTCAGCACAAGTACAGGCACACCCGCTCAGGAAACTGCTGCCTCCCCCTGCCCCTGGACATGTGTCAACAACGGGATACATTAATGTTCATGCTTGTATGTGTGTTCTGTTTATTGTACCTTGTGGTTGTAGAAGTGTCCGTTGATTGAGAACCTGTGTGTACGCAAGCGCTGCAGGTCTCTGGCAGTGTGTGTCTTTGACCTCCTCTGAACCTGCATGAAGGAAGCATCACTCCTGGTCCTCAGCAGCTGAGGAGAATCCTCTTCCTCTTGACCATCCACGTCACCACCTTGTGGATGCACGTGAACAGAAAACACACCTCTGTTACTGCATTCATCAGACGGTACCCGTTTTATATACGTCAGCAGAAGTGGTAGAAGAAGTATTCAGATCCTTTACAATGTTTATTAACTAGTTATGAAACAGTCATACTTGCTGATGTCTCTATATGACCTACGTAAACAAACAAGACCATCAGTGAGAAGATTTATATAGCAATTTTTATCTAGTTATTCTTAATGTCTCTTAATTCCCCTTGAAATCAGTGAAATGAGGCAGTGGAAACACTGTTCAGAATCAACAAAAAATAAAGGTTCTTTGTTGCTGCTTTAAGTAAAAGTCTATACAACAATCTTAAAATACAGTGTGCTGTAGGTATCAAAAGTTAAAGTACACATTCTGCTGTAAAATGTTGCCTGTAATAGATATATTATTATATATGACATTATTAGATTGTTATTAATGGAGGTGGACTTTAAGTTAGGTAGTTTAGTCCGATGCTTCTCAACCAATGCATTGAATTTTATGATCTGATTATGTTTGTAATGTATAATCTTGAGGTGAAAAGTAAATATAGCTGTCGAAAAATATAGTAGAGTAAAAGTATAAGGTTACAAGATTTCCTTTTAAACTCTCTCTCAAAGTATGTATGTATGTTATTTTTTAACCCAGACACCAATGTTAGACAAATCAAAAGTAACCTTACTGTAATACACACTCATCAATAAATATACTCTTACTCTTTTGCTCTCAAATTAAGATCTAGAGTTTGTCAGTTACATACAAACACATAACCATTTCAGTTTAGTTGTGAGGGATCAGTGTGTCCATCAGAATTTAAAAAATCCTCTCAGACAGCATTAACACCATGTGACAAAACTTGATAGTGAAACACAAACCAGTGCTAGCAGGGGGAGAAAATACAAACACGTTTCTTTAATTGTTAATCTGTGGCTGAGAACAACTCCCATGAGATGTCAGCATGTGACAAAACTGCTTCAAAAGGACAATGTCAGGCCCAGGCTAAGCAGTCTACGCCATGGTGTATTTATAATGCTGGTGATTGATCTGGATGGCATCTCATGGTAATCTGTGCTGACCGCGTGAGCCAACCTCTCCACTTGAGATGCTGGAGGGGGTACTTGTGCAGCTCTAATCTGTTTTAGCACGTGTGTGTGTAATCTCCATTAATCCAGCAGGTGTTTGTGTATGTGAGAAAGTGGCTGCACATGCATGTTACTCACCAGCTAGTTCAGTTTCTCTGCCCAGTGAATTATTGTTAGACTCTGCGGATAACTGCTTTCCCACAGTAGATCTGTCGTTTCTGTAGAAAGAAAGAAGAAGGAAGAAGGAAAATGTGTTTATGTTAACATTCCTAACACTGTTTATTGTTTACAATACTTTAGCATTCCCATTTAGTTAACTGTCTCATGGCGGACTGATATGAGAGTGTCTCTTTTAAGATATTTTAATTATCTGACATACTATATTTCCTAAAAATACTCGCCTTTGGACTCATAATGCCCCACTTCTATTTCATGTAAGACGCAAGAGAGGAGTATAACTTAAAATGTCCTCCTCTTTATCCTTTCGACTCATTTTCCTCAAGCACTTTACTTCCAGTACACTATTTAAAATTATTTTCATTATAATCTGACATTGCAATAATGTTCTTGATCAATATATTAGTCATTTTGGCAATAAATGTCAGAAAATTATGTATTCAAATGATCGTTTTTATGTGATTAAGAGAAACCCCCAAATATATGAACTTTATTATACATGACAAAAAATGAGCAGTTGGAATTAATGAATGTTAATTATATTTCATTCACTACCTCTCTAGACTCATTCTTGTGCTCAATAAAATCTTATCCCTTATTTTATTTTATCTTTTCTTAATGTTAAAGTATTACCAAAAAAACTTTGAAAAGTTGAAATCTTGAGTACAGAAACATCATAACCGACACAGGTCTGACACTTAATAATACAGGGTGGGGATACTGGTTGAGGTTACTGTTGTTCCGCACATGAAGGCATCTGTGTCAGTCGGGATCAGGTTGTCGCACCTGTTGAGACGAAATCTTTCATTGTCGTCGTGCATCTGAAGTCTGATTGGTCGGCGTAGACCCCAGTAGATGTTCAGCAACCCCTCGAGGATGAGCGCTCCATCCTCCTACACACACACACATCCACAAACACACACATAAAACATTAATTCTAAGCACTCGTGGTCAGAAGGGATATCCTGCTGGCCGCCCGCCACAGCGGCTCAATATCAGGTGTACGTGCAGGAACAGACGCTCGCAGCATTCACAGGGTGAACCCTCTCATCTTGGAGAAACCCAGTTATGTTTGACCCACCCTTTTTTTCCCTTACACAGTACAAGGGTGAAGTCACGTCTGAGAAGGCAGCAATAACGCTTTGGGTCACGTACACACAAGTGGGGGGGTGGGGGCGTTTTGAATTCACAAAACTGAAACTTTAAATTTAGAAGAAGATGGCCACCATGTTGTACGTGTTCTGAGTACAACTGTGTCACCCTGTTTAGGAAAAAAAATAAAATGAAAGGCCTCAAGCATGTTAGACTGAATAGTGAAGCCTCATATCCAACAGCATGTTTTTGTGCATGTTACAACTGAACTGGTATTAAAAGCAAATATTAAACCACAACTGTGACTGTTGTAATCACAGAGCAGATACTCTTGTCAGATTCTTTGATCTGAAATAGCTTGTTATATCATCACTCTATCCAATTTGATAGACCAGACCACAATGGAGATCTTTTAACCCAGATAGTGCTGATGGAAAAGTCTATTAATCAATTTGTCAACGAATTAGGGAGAGTCAGAAGGAGAACAACTGTCTGATCAGCTGATACACTGCCAGTTGAAAGTTTGTGGTTACCCTGTAGCATTTTTGGTTAAGCAATTTAATGTATAATTCCATGAATACATGGAAATATACGTCAGGGAAAGAGTTTATGCATTGACTTTTAGTTTTAGTGGTTTCATGATTTTCAAGTAGAATTAGATCTACTTGGAAATCATGTAAATCACAATCATTTTAAGTTGGCCCTTTAGTAGACAACATACTGTATTAAGATAAATGTATAGTATATATAAGTGTATAAATACACTATATGATTGAATGCCTGAGCTTGCACCAGGCCTTCATTGAAAGGTTTCAGCATGGAACTTAGTTAATAAATACAAAGATTTGTACTCACTCAGCTCTAGACAGATTAGTGGTGAATTATTTGTGAACAATTTGTCTGAAGGGACAAACAGAAGAGAAAAACATATTTGTTTTCCTGTCGTCTCAGAGCATGTGACCACTGAGGACCCTCACCCCATTAAAGCAGTTGACGTGAGGATCCAGAGCCACATGATAGTTTGGTCTGACACAAATAGTGTCATCATGCTGTCTTGGCCTCTAAATGTATGCCTTTCATTTTTCCGACTGTTAATGGTTTAATCTGCATGCATATCTTCTTGTTGACATATATTTGACTTTAAATTGTTAGATCATAATTGTAAAGCAGCTGGGTCAAAAGGAAGCTTGCCAGTGAGATATGTGCAAATTGCTGAAACGATAAGAATACTGGAGGTTAACACGGTCAGTTTTAGTACCATTTTTAGATGATAACAATCATTTTAATACTGAAAAGTCAGGAAAAGGTTTGGAAGTTTGGAGGTGAGGCAGATTGCTCCCAGGGCTTCATTGTTTCTGGAATATAAACATTCAGAGCAGCTGCACCACTGAACCTCGCTAACCCGCCACTCCTGAGCTTCCTGAACAGGCATGAACACACCCTCTCTCTCTCACACACACACATACACACACACGCACACACACACACACACACACACACACACACACACACAAAATTCACGGAGATGTGAGTAAGGTCAGCAGAGCTATTTTTGGAAGGGGTGGTTAATCGCTTTGGTTCAGTCTGCCTCTATAAAGCCTGGATACGTGCTCCAGTCCCGTCATACTCAACTGAACGGACTAGACATCACTCACTGTTTCACTCTGCATGTGGAACCTACAGATCAAGCATCAAAGGTGAGAGTGCTTCTTCTACGTTTTGTTCTTCACTATCAAATTTTTTAAATATTTTTTATAGATTCCGTACAATTTAGCAAGTTTATTTTAAATAACTGAATTTTAAGGGAAACATTATGTAGTTTACAGACACAGAAATTTTGATTAAAGTTTTAACTTGTGTCTTACTTGTTATTCATACTATTGAATAAGGAAAGACGGTAGTTATCATTTAATCTATTGTATTAAAACAACCGAAAAGCAAAAGGCTGAAAGATAGCAGGCAAAATGCAGATGCAAAACCAGTGTGGCAGATTTTTTTGCAGCACAGTGACAGGCCAGAATTAAACACAGATAATTAAAATCACCATCTTCAATCACTAACAATTTTATTTTTCCTCTCCCGCTACAGCATGAAACGCAGGAGACTGTTGCTCTCCCCGCCTCTCTTACCCACCATTACTGAGACGCTTGAGGATTTGCCTGTCCATCCCTCATCCGCCCAGAGCTCCCAGTCTCAAGAGGACTACATGACCAGTATCCAAGCCCTTGCCTGCCCTGTTGAGGCCCCGAGCTGTGGCCCCTTCAGACTCCAGAGGTCCCCCAGGCTCCGGCATTTCTCAAAGGCTCAGATGAAGCTATCCGTCTCAGCCTCACTTCCTCGCGGGACGCCCAGAACACTAAGGACTTCCAGACTTTACAGCCTGAGTCTAAACAGCACAGAGGATTTTTCTCTTAAGATGAGCAGAGAAAAAGACTGCAGGGGCATAGACCCCGTAGACTGGCTGTTTGGGCAGATAAGAACTTGAAGAGAGACATTGTTGTTGTGGGAATCCTGAAGTCACTTTGGTGGATTATCTCAAAATCATACTAGGTTGGAAGAAACTGCTCTATTTGGCTTGAAACGATGGGACTTATGGAAAATAGAAGATCTATTTATTTCAATGCACCGAGGAATCAAGTCTACTTGTTTACGTTGTTTAATATTTTGTAAAGATGTAAAATATATAGTTTCTAATAAAATATTTAAATAATCATGAAAATGTTTATCCTTTGCTGTTTTTAAACACAGACAGAAGAGCTGAAGGTCTTTACATCTCTAATCGAAATTAGAGCTGAAATGATTAGTGATTATTATTATTATTTGCAGCAATTTGAATTGTGAAATCATTCAAGTCATTTATCAGCAAATATATTCTCTGGTTCCAGCTTTTGTTTTCAAATGTAAGAATTAGCTTTTTCTGTTTTCTACAGTAAACTGAATCTTTTTGGGTTTTGAAAAACAAAACATCACCTCAGGTTGTGGAAACTGTGAAATATAGTTTATTTTTTCTGACATTTTAGAGACTAAATTATAAATCAAATGAAAATAGATTGACAGATAATAAAACTAATCATTATATTGTTGAAATGCTGCTGCCACAGATTGTGAGAGGTCAGAATGTAACTGAGTACAGTTCCTCAAATACTACAAGTACAATTTTGAGGTACTTTTATGGAATAGAATAAACTTTATTGTCACATAGAATAATACACAGTACGATGTATAGTGGAATTTGTACTCTGCATTTAACTCATCCTACGTATTAGGGTGGGTGGGCAGCCACTGTACGACGCCTGAGGACCAACTAAAAGTCAAAGGCACTGACTGAAGAATTATTCTAACATACATGTTTTGATGGTACGCAAACAAACTCCCCAGTAGGGAATCAAACCCAGGACCTTCAGGCTGTGAGGTTAACAACTGATCCACTGTGCTGCAGTTACTATAAACTTCCAAGGAACCATTTTACTTTTTACTCCACCACATATATTTGACTGGTTAATTTTCAGACCATGTTTTACAAACCATATTATTAGCCAGTGGTGGAAAGTAACTAAGTACATTTACTCAAGTACTGTAGAACATTTACATACAATTCAGAGGGGTAATATTGTACTTTTTACTCCACTACATTTATTTAATATCTTTAGTTACAGATTGATAACACAAAAAATTATAAACAAATAAATTACGACATATTATTATTGATAACTATAACTACCCAGCAGTATACAGAGTAACTAAAATTGGCATTTATATATTATTATTATGAGTACTTTTACTTTTGGTACTTTAAGTATATTTTGATGCTAATACTTTGATAACGGGAGAAGAAAAATAAAATCTGTACTTATGTATGACTCTCTAACAGTATTGCTATATTACAGTATAGCACTTAAAAGATCTGAGTACTTATTCCACCACTGTCATTATATTACAGATCAACCCCCCCCAACAGTATATACACTAGTTAAAATGGCCTCCTTTGACCTGCTACAATAAAATGCTATCAACATAAAGCATCAGTTTTAATAATACAATTATATAATCACTGATAATATAACTCTCACATGAGATTTGAGAGTGATTTCAATGCATAGTTAATTCACAGTAGTAAATTTTTCTGATAAAACTTTCCTATTTTTAGTTATGCAAGATCATGTATATGCAGGACCTTTACATGGAATATGGATAGGATCTGACTACTTCTTCTACCTCTGTTGAAGAACAAACCACAGAAGGATTTGTTTTGCATTGAGTCTCAAATCTAAAAAAAGCACAGCACTCCACTGTCATCTAGTGGTAGTCAATGATGCTACAGTGATGACCCTTTTAAACTAAAAAGTACCTCATACAACCAGTAGAGAGAGCTGCATGCACATAGATTGACAGGTTATTTCAGTGGACAAGTACAGTCGAATAAACTGAGCCTCTCCTTTGTTTTACTGAGCCCGGCTCGGACTGAACTCTTTTGACTATATCACATTATTATTCACACAGATTATTTGGCAGCAGGGATTATTAGGCACCAATCCTTCATGCTGAAGTGCTCTTGAGCAAGACTGAATCAATACCGCCTCCAGCAAGGCTGTTTCTTTGCAGTCTGAGCAGTCAAAAGAGAAAATGCCTCCAGCATCATCGGCTAATACAGTTGAACTGTTACTAAGCACACGTGTTAAAGCTTGTTTTCTCCTCAGAGATGTGGATGGCACTGAACCTCGAAGTCAAACCACCTGACATGTCCGCCCACATCATGACAAACACACCTGACTACACCTGCTGAGTGTGATCATGTAAATTTAACCCATTTTTCTTGAAGGAAAATTATTGGGGATATTCCACAGACCAAGTGGAACTCATAGAACACATTTCTGATGTTTTTTCTTTTTAAATGTCAAATATTTGTTTTGTGACATATAAGCCACAATGGGCGTTTTTGGTAAATAAAAACTTAAATTTGACATCAATTTTTTGTTTATATTTCTTCAAATATACTTTAAATTGAACAACAGGGCATATATTAATTCTAAATAATTGAAACAGTGAAATTAATTGAGGGGCTTATTACCTTTTTGTTATTGTGACACAGACATCACATCAGATTTTCCATGACAACTTTACGGTTAAAAGCCCGATGTGACGTATACGTCACAGCAACATTTTCGTAACTTGTTTTATATTATTTTGTTCAGGAAATATGGACAGAACAGATTAAATGCAATACAGGACATACTATTGAAGCATTAGAATTGTTCAATGGGTTTAAACTTACGTTAGTAACAAAAAACAAGCTTTTTGAATTTAGCCATTTCCTTAATTAATTTAAGTCATTTCTGTCAATTCAGTCACACCCACATTTTGGACACTTTCCTGTCACAGTCACATGATTGTCATATGGCCACCACACCAGGATGTTTTGTAGATGTCACTTAGGGACTTAATGAGTTAAGGTCAAGCATAAAGCTGTATATGGAAGATTAAAGGACATTTAAAGTGTTTGTGACACACATGTCACCATGGGTTCTTATAACAACACCTATAAGTTCTCGTACTCGTTCTCTCCAACTGCCTCTTTCCACAGAATCCTGATCATCGACCAATAAAAACAAATATTCAGGAATCTTGGGTATATAAGACCACAGTGAAGCTCTGTTTGGACATTATGAAATGCCTACGGCTGGTTTTAATCTGAACCCGCTCACACAGTCATTGCTTTTAACGAACATTAAGTCTAGTTCCAACCAAAGAATGTTACTGCTGAGTAATGCTTTGTGTCTCCACAAAATATCCAGTGAGTCACTCTTGAGTAACCTTGGCGTCACTCTAACAGCTCTAACGATGTCACTAGATCATGTCAAGCATAAATTATTAGAGCAAAAGAATAAAGGAATTTTCATCTTTGCCCTGATTGTGTGTCAGTGTGAACAGGGCTCAATCATTTGTCACATAATTTTCTTCAGCAGATGATGCTGCCCACCATTTCTAATCACTTCGAGGACACTCCATCCATGTTGATTTAAAAGTTTAAAAGACTGAAAGCTCTAGAACAGCAACTCAATTAACTTGGGGGAGCGATTGTTTGTTCAGCTGCTGTTTCAATGTTTAAGGAAAATGTATTCATGACACATAGTTGATGCTGTTCAATGCCAGTAATCCTTGTAGACTAAAAAACTAGAAAAGTAGAGTACTTTTGTCCTGGTAAAACTGAGCAGAGATAAACTTGTCTGGAAAATAATCTTTACTCGTCAGGATCAAATTTCAGATCAGATTGTGATGCTATAGCTTTGCAACAGCCGTAAAAAAAAATCTGCCAGCAAATACAGCATTTCAGTCACAGTAGACTGAGCCAGCTATGCTGTCTGCACAGTGCACACAGAAATAGATTTCCCATTATCACCACATTTGGCACAGGAGGGATTAGGCTTGAGTGAGGTGCCCTGGCCCATTGTTCCCATCAGTAGTTCCTGTGTCTGTAAGTGGCTAATTTATGCTAATGTCTGCTCACCAATTACATTTTTGTTGAACAATATTTTCGTTACAACTACGCTGAACAGTTTGTGTAAATGTAATCTGTGTGGACTTTGTGTCATTCGGCTGAAAGGCTGCTAATATTTGATTACAGATAAAGCAAATATATCTTTCTTGACAAAAAAAGCGTTAACTGTGAATGCAAACCGAAAGAGATAGGCTAATATTAAGTTTATATGAATGAGTCAATTTCACTTTAAAGTGAGTCATTGTCCTGTTGTGGCCCTTATCGCCTTATCGTCAGTTTTCTACATTTCTGTGGAACCAAACTGGAGCCGTGGAGAGCAATAAGTAATAACACAGAAAGCAACATATAGTGTAGAATCAGTCTCTTTTTCCAGCTATCACACTTGAGAAATATATATATTTAGGTTATTCTCTGGGCTGAATCTATTTAGCTATTAGAGAACCAACATGTTTTGTTGGACGTTTCTGACTTTCAGCAAAAACATGACGCACTGTTAAAATCCCACATCAAAGCATCAGATGGTCAATGACAAGTTACAGTGGTGTAATGTAATGTGTTGAGTCATTCTCTATAATGTGGGATGATAATAAGCATCATGCCTTCTCATCAAATATCAATATTCAGTAAACAATCAAGAGAGGTTTAAGCTATTGTATCGTTTTTGTTTGGTTAATATTATGTCAATACTGTCTTATCATTGGTCCCTCTATTAAACATGTGTATGTACCCATCTTATGTCTGTGACTGTGGGGGATTTTCCCAGAGTGAGATGATGTTGTGGATCTGGCTGAGGGGACAGACAAGAGGAGCAGATCATGACCACCCTGACCTACACTCCTGCGCTCCTACACACACACACACACACACACACACACACACACACACGCTCTTTCTCTTCCCCCCATCTTGCTCTCAAAAACCTGCTGGTGTACACAAAGGGGAACTCCCTGACCAAAAAACCCATAGAATGATTATCAAACAAATAACCAAACTCCTGCAAGCAGCTTTACAGACACACCACAACAGCAAAATGTTTACTGTACTGAAATACTTCTCTAAGTGGTTAGTGTATATGACTAAAATCAGAAAGCCCTCCCTCTTCCATTTCCATTTGCATTTTGAGGTAAAAGGGGGCTTTTTGTGGGTTGGAAGCTGTTTGGCATGTTGGAAAACTAGCCAGGAATCGCAGGTCTGTGCACAGAACTGCAGCCACATAGGAAACTTACTTGGTCTCAAGATGTTTTTTTAGTCCTCCTTATCTGCCTTAGAATCAGATTGCTGGTTTAACTGGTTCCAGTTTTGATAGGCAATATGTGTGACCCGTTTTACAGTGCAGTGTCTGTCCTGCACGCCCACACATGCCGCCGAGCGATTGTCAATAACTCTCTTATTTCCGCCAGCACCGTTTTATCAGGTTATATGGCGGCTTCGCCTTTTCTTACCTCACGAGTTCTCAGCTGAAAGTTTTTCCCTTCATGGTAACAGTTGTAGGTCCTCAGCAGGGACAAGATGTCAGACCTGAATATAAAAACACCACAAATGGTAGATTAGCACTAATAGCGCTCACAAAATGCAAGCAATGATGAAATCTAATACATGTAATAGTCACCATGGTGATTTGTTTAATTGTGTATAATTACTGTGCAGTGAGTGAACTAAAAGGACTTACTTCGGTATAAGTTTCTCTTCACTGAGCTTCACGTAGATCTGACACTCACTCATTCTGACTGGAGCCCAGCTGCGGCAGAAACACATGAGAGACACACATATAAATCACACATTCACATAATGGACTTAAGTCCTTGTGTTAATTAATGTGCATTGTCCCTTTTAGAGAAATAAACTTTAAATGACCTTAATTATCCCCAGAGAGAAAACTCCTTTGACCATGTGCTTTAAATGTGATGGACAACCACATAGAAATATATAACAAAAACAATGATTGATAAATATAAACTATGCACATTAGTTTAATGTGTTGTAATGTTTCGTTGTTGACAATTTATGGATTGGAAGGTTTTTTTTTTTTATCAAATGCTGTTGAAGGAAAAAACAGGGACAGGGAATTAGGAGAAATCACATGCTGTTGTTGACACAGCGCCAACGGACTGATAGAAGCATCATGTAGTGGAGAATGCTGAACAAAGCCCGGAAAACACATCTGTGTCTTCTGTGTCATCAAAGGATACCTCCAGATAGTGTGGCAAATACAAACAATTAGCATCATAATAATGAATATAAGCACCCCTCAGTCATCTCTGTGGCACAGTTTCTGAAGAATGCAATTTTTGTGCAAGTAATTCAATGCACAGTGAAAAAAACATATAAACCAATTAATCACTATGTCCTTCAGGGTGTCAAGTCTTTTTTTGACAGAGTCAGAGAAATGGTGTCCCTGATCCCTGCATCCTGATTCCTATGTCCAGATATTTTCAGAAAGGAAAGTGCCATGGGGAATTTCCTGGTTTGGAAAGCCCAGAGTTGGAGGGGGGAGGAGCAGGAGTATAAAACGGCAACATGTGGCTCAGGGGCTCAGTCTTAACGCTCAGCTTGTCTCTAGTATGGCGCTTTATCTTCAGTCCGTCTGTCAGCTCGCCTTTCTGAGCATCTGCTGTGTATTGATCACAGGTAAGAATCTACCGATTCATCTATGCTTGTATGTGTGTTTTTCTTTCAAAAAATCTGGATACAGTAAAAGTGTTTTACTTAGACAAAGCTGTCTGAGCATGTGGATTTGCGGTAATTTAATCTCTGCTCATGTTGCGCTGTATTGAATCAGCCTGTAATCCTGTTACTGTGTCTGTGTCTGTGCAGTGAGAGAGTCACACAGCACGTTTGTACCGGGAAGATGTGCGTGTCCAAGTACGAAACAGGGTGTGAGGGGGCACCTGAAAGATCTCACCGTCCACCCAAAAAACCCCAACTGTGACACAGTCGCAGTAATGTGAGTACCAGATCCTACAGAAACACTCAAACACACACACAGCCAGATGACTGTGAGTAAATGTGTGGCCTTACATGTGTTTTTCAGTGTGACACTAAGGAATACAGGCGTGAAATTATGTCTGAATCCAGAGGCACCGCTGGGAAAACAGCTGATCCGCTGCTGGAACAGGTGAGAGCATTGATCAGTGAAACTTAAAAAGACTTGCCTCTGTAAGGGTTTTGTCAGCTTAAGAGATACTATAGCTTTGCCAACCCCCAGAATATCATGTAATCCTTCAATTTAGGTAAAAAAAAAAAAAATGATTCACTATTCTTATTACATGGAAGATTGCAGAATATTTAAGCCGAGTGTCCTAACTGGCTACAGAGGGGTTCCACCCGTCTTCATATTGCCAACAGTATCTTATTTGTTGCCAAGCCAGTTCTTGCCCTGACAAAGCACATAGTTGAGCAGTTTGTTCAACTTTCCTCTGCACGTTTTGCAACTTGTGAGACAGAAAAAAATATATGTTAGAGCCTCTAACAAAGTAGTAATCAACTAATTTCATTGCTTAGTTTATATTCTTCGGTAAAAGCTATTCATGCCACTACAAACATTATATCCAAATATTTGACCAACTTAGCTGTACAGGTTGTCTGATTTTTACTCCAAGAGTATCAATTTACAGCCCTGCCCCCAAGACTAAAGTTCTGTACTTCTGTGTGTTTTCTAGAGCTCAAAAGTTGGGTCGTGATGTGAATGTTTGCCTGAGGAGGAGAAGGAAGAATAAGAGAGGAGGTCAGCAGCGCCAGCGGTCTAAACTACTGAGGAGCCGGGGAAATACCTCATCCTCTAACTCCCAATAATCAACCACCCAGACAAATTATACAAAGCTACATGGAGAGAAGTCTGAATGTGCTGCTTCTTGCCACACTGGCCACCAGAGGCCATTAAACCCCCCGCCCCCCCTCCATCCCTCACCAGCTCCCTACCACTTTTCTTTCTATAAATGTCACACAGCTCGGACATCAAGCTCCCCTAAATTGTTGTCTGGGCTGTAAATCCACCTCTCTTTCTAGGCCAGCAGCAGGGGGCTTTATTGTTTCGGTTCAAATGACTGAGAATGCTGAAAACTAAGCCCTGGAGGCTTTTCAGAAATGTTAACAGCTAACACTGTTAAATGGTCAATGCATTGTTTATGTGTGGTTCTGTGTATACAGTTGGAAAAGCTAACTAAAGAGACTTTGTAATCGGTTATTTATTTTTATATAAATATAGAGATTTTAGACATGTTTTTTAAAATAAATATATCAAAACAATAACGTGGCCTTGTGTGCTTTTTATTGTTAAAACTCCTGATTTTCTTAAGAACTGAATGATGGGAACAGTGATTTCTTCCAGGATGTGAGAGGTCACTAAACCCACAGCTTCAGCTTTAGTTAATAAACTACAGGATGTGAGTCAGCGGTAGGCACAAAGCAAACATGTCTCACTAAAAACATCTGCACAAATATCTCAAAGCTATAACAGGAGTCAACTGAACTGTTTCATAATGTGTATAAATATCTCTTTACATCGCACAAATCCACAGAAGTGACCACTTGATGTAAGAGAATTTGCTGGAGGGGTTTTGGAAAACACAATACTGTAAATAGTGCATATCTCAGGTTGCGGTTTTATACCTTTACTGGGCTATTACTGGTGTTACGCAACTTAGATGTCCAGGTGATATGGGTGTGAACTGTTGAAAGTGAATGTTTTATGGTAGCTTGCCATACCAGCTCTGAGATTTCTTGTAAACCATGTGACAGGATAGAGCCCAAAGAAACAGACACACACACACACACACACACACACACACACACACACACACACACACACTTAATACTTTAGCTGTGCACTCACATCAATTATGGTAATGGAAGTGAATAACCAAGGCATGTGCTAACCTGTTTTGAATTTCACCTAAAACACCTATTGACATTGGTATGGGCTCTCTATTCTGGTATGTGGTCTTGTTGTTATCACTCTATGCCTGACACCACTTGGTGGTAATATGGAAAGTGAAAGTAAACTGCTCAACAAAGTCGCCTTTGTCACAGGCCAGACCAAGAATGTAAGCTGTTTTTTAAATTAATGAATGTTGTGGTGGCAATTTGTTTAATAAATGCAAAGTATGATCTTGTCTTTCTGTAAGGTTTTATTCAACTCATCCATGAGTGGTCTCAACGCAACCGTCACACACTCTCGTATGTGAAAGTCCGAAGAGCCCCGATTGGCAGAAGCAGTGTGGTTTTATCCCTGTTGGAGCACACAGTTACACATTCATAAGTTCTGGGACAGTAAAGAGACAGATAGTGAGGTGAGATGATCATGTCCTTGGCTTCTTAGTGAAGTCTCATCATCCCGCTGTTTACTTGGACATAGAGTGTAGTTAGAAACAGGGCTAAAGGTTATATGCTTATAATATCCGCTTTAACAGTTGCGTATGGTTTTACAATGACCAGATCAAAGGGTTGTATAGGTTCTTAAAAATTGCCATTACAGTGTTAATGAATACAAAGAAGGCAGTTGTTTGGCTTTTATAGTCAAATATTATTCACTGCCGATAGGGTTAAAAAGGATACTGGTTGAGAGGATACAGTAACTGTCTTGTAGCACTTATTTTCTACTAATTTTCACAGCATTGCATTTATGTGATAACTATAGTTTCTAACTTATAGTTATACCTACTAGTCTATAATAAACTGCTTCCTCTCAACCAAAATGCAACATTAAAATGTAGCTTAATGCAACAGTAACAATAATTAAACAACAGTTATACAAATACTAAAATACCTCTGTACTGTTAGTTCTGTATGCAGGACTTGTAATTGAGTATATTCCTACAGTGGTATTGCTACTTCAGAAATGTATTACGACATGTGTACAAATATTTCCACATTAAAATCCTTAAAAAGACATCTACTCCTTCTACCGCATTAAACATTCCACAATCTATATGAATATGCAAATTGTGTTAATTTCTTAAGTTCTCCTGCTGGACACAAGATGTCTCCTGCTTGACCACAGTCCATTCTCAGTGTTTGTGCTCTGGTGGCTTCAGTGTTGCACATTGGACCAGGACTGACTTCCAGACTATGTGTGATATCACAGTGACCAGAGAAACTTCCCACTTTCATCAGATCAATGTGAAAACATCCTTTTGGTGTCAACATAAACACACACATACACATATATAAACATCTGCACAGTGAAGGTCAAACATCCAACAGTAAGAACAAGAAGAAAAAGTGGAGAGTTTAAGTAAAGGATCTGAATACTTCTTCCACCACTGTTAAAGTCCCATTTAAGTCTGACTAAAGTTGCTTTCATCAACAAAATATCCAAAATCTTAATATTAGCTACCAGCAACGAGAGATTAACCTATTAACACTTTCACACAAACTACCGACTTGCTTGACCTTTTCTGTATCTCACTACACACATATGCATACGGTATGCAAGTGTAACCACATAATCAAAGGTACAGTTTTAGTCATAAATCTGCCAATTATTGATTACCAAGTTTTATAGCAGTATAGCCTCTTATCACGGTGTAATGGTGCTTTGTTCATTGTTTGTACCTTGTGATTGTGGTGTGTTTGTTACTGTTTAATAAAAGTTTAATAAGGTAACTTGGATTTATATTTACATTTTAAGCTTTGGTCTGACAACTTTTTGTTTTTTTGAGCATTTATTAAAGCCTACTTTAAGAGTCAGCTGATCATAAGAGTAGAAAGGGAAATGTTTGCTACAAATTGATAGGTAAAGTTTAGATTTGAACACTGGGTTGTGCTGCCATCTAGTGTCTAAAGTATGATGTACATCTGCTTTGTTAAGTGTAGCAGCATTGTCTGGCTCAGTGACAGAAGAAAAGCTGTTTTACTTTAACTTGTTTTATGATCTCTGACACCACCTGCAGGAATGTGGACAGATGGAGCCTTTACTCCAAAGCCTTAGTGGCTGATTTATTGGCTGTGACTCTCAGAACTTTCTGAGATGATCCATGTAATTGCAGTGTATCATTTGGTCACATGATAAAGAAGGGACATTAATCAATTTAAATACTAATGTGGAACTTATTTAATGTGCAGTTCCTCTTTGATACACTCCATTTTGATAACCAATTCATAATTAATTTAACCTACTTCATGAAACTCCTCAATAGTTATTCTTAAGAATCAAATGAAGTAGCTCTTTCCCACTAATAATCTCTGGTACACTGGAAATGATATTTTTTGCATGTTCTGTGGCTAAAACAGAAGTTACTAAGGTAAAAATAGAAGAAAAAAATGCTTGCATGAGCAGTGATAGTCACCACAAAAACCAGGAAACGGGCTGCCCATTACTGACGACACCACTGTCTGACTGGGAAGTGATCTCTGGGAAAATAGGTGCAAATTCAGCTAAACTATGAACACTGGGCATGAAAGAAGAAGATAAGAGTCTTTGGATTGCTCCTTTTATTACTGAGTAATACTGAGTACCTATCAGCCCTCCTCCCTCCCTTTAATGACCTCTGCCCACCTCCACTTTCATCCAAGGAAACTGCTGACAAAGTAGGTGCATAATGGGATGGTCAGTCTATCTCTCATACATATTCATACATAATAATGGGCGTATAAATATTCCATAACTTAAAGGATTCCTGTCTGTCACCATTATTATGAATTATTCAGCCTCTGCACATGGCTGCACAGGAGACAGACCAAAGGCTTAGAGCTGTGCAAAGAAGATAGGGGTCACTCTACTGGGTGGTGCTCAGATTTAGGTGAATTTACATAATCTGTCTCTTCTCTCTCCTGTGACTAAATTGCGCATTACCTCCGAGTTTAGGCTCCCTCGGTGGACAAAGAACCTTCATTGCAGGTCTACTAATTGGTTTTATCATCGCGAGATTCGTATCCAATTATCGCACCTACTCTGGCAGCTGCGCCCGAAGACAATCCATTCCCACGCGTAAAAAGGTCCAGGAGAGCTCCAAATGACGCGCACGACGCCAAATTTGGCGAAACCCAATTTTTTCCACAAACGTCTAAATTTAGAGACAAACGGGAAACTGGAGAGAGACATTTATCAGCAGATCACTTGCTGAAGGACCATGTATTCCCATCACTGCGTTGATATTCCCTCAATGCAAGAAACTCTATGTACACCGTTAGTAACCTGCATCCAACTTCAGAACATCTCTCGTTACCAGATGGTTTTTTTCAGGGTTTTCGATTGCATCGACCTTACCTCTTAATATTTCCGTGTAAAAAAACATCCTGCAGTAAATCTGGTCAGTTTGGGTCTTACCATAGCAGAGCGCGTCCTCCGTCTTCTTCCGTATATCCACCAGCGATTTATCCCGTTTACCGTTCCTTATCGGTCTTCATGCCTCCCCGGCTGTGCGGTATTCAGAGCCGGGAGATAAAACTGACAACGGTGTGATCCAATAGAAGGCCGCACTGATACGCTTGGCCAATGAGCGTTGAGCGTGGGCGGGCTCAACAAAGTCAGGGTTTCATACCTCTTCATCAAGGTGCCTCTGGGTGCTTTGATTTAGTCTCATCAGTCAGAGCAGAGTCTTACAGTCTGATCTTCATTGCTCAAAGAATATCAGCTCAGATGTTGTGTTAATTTTGTTTTTTATTGATTTTGTTAGTTTGACCTATAATGTGCTGGATATTTTGAATCCTGGAAATGTGCACTGCTAGATACAGTTATTGTGTCAGTTTCTGTTCAGTTATGGAAAAATCAGTGAAGGATTTGATTGTCTATTCTTAGCTAAGTGCTGATTTAAGTTATATTTTAGTGTTTACTTATATTCTGTATCATGCTTGAATTTTATGAATATTGCCTTTTGTGTTGTTTTATGCTTTTTTATAGTTTGCTATGTCATTTTAGATTTTTGTTTTGCTTTCTTATATTATCACTGAAACAAACAATACAAATAATTTTTTTGTCTGCCTTTACATATACAGCAATAAGAAAATCTAATTCCTTTAAAGCTTTAAAGCACCTATCCTGTTTTTTCCAGCTCAGCAGTAAAGGAAAAAGTCCCTGTGACCTGTAAAGATGTATTTCACCCATCCTGTTATTGAGCCCGAACCTAACATCTAGGAAACTATTGTAGGGTGGAAACGCCAACTGTAGGAAGTCTCCCTCTCTCTGTCCGTCTGAATAGGATTTATGATTTAATGTGCACAGAGGAAGTAAGTTGTTCCAGCAGCTGAATAACTTCCCCCACAGAGAACAGCTCATTCTAAAGGATATGGGCATGACAAAGTTGGTGGAACATTTATGGAACCGGACTGGAAATACTGACGTTCATTTCCTCTCCTCTGTTTATTATCGGGTCACTCAGCTGCTAATTGACCAGAGATCATTGTGAAGTTGATAATACAGACTCTGACTATGGGCCAATGAGCGGCCTCAGCAAACTCAGGACAAAGACTCTCTGTTCTCCCCATAAAAATACCAAAACATCTCATCCCTCCTGACTGGATTCACATGTCTTGGCTTTTGTGCAAAATAATAAAATAAAAAATGTTGAATGAAAGATTATATGACACCGTGTAGCTGCTAGGAATGTAATTGGTGTCAAATATGGAGAATAACCCAGTTGTTTAACCTAGAGGCTATTTATACGTGAGTGTGTTTTCACGTGTCTGGCCTCATTCTCAGTGAGGTGCTTTCTGATGAATGAGACTCTCTGCTTTTATTGATTCTCTCTTTAGCTTTGATGCTGCGGAGAGATTGCCTCTTAAGGCTAGATACAGTTATATAGCTACACTTCAGTGAACAAAGGATTGAGGAATACAGTGTGTGTATGTGTGATTGTTTTGACAGAAGAAAACAGTATTGATTTATGACCTGAACAAAAGATGAATGTCTGTATGGAGAATTATATCCTTTGTAGCGTGATAAAACAAAAGAAAAACAAATAACATTTTAATACAGGCATTTCATTAAATCCTTTGTATCACAAATATGCTAATTTCAGGGTGATTTATGGAGCTTGGGTCTGATTCACACAGCCTATTAATATTATCAATGCACAGCATATGACAAGTATTTATTGCATGAATAACACTTGTAATCATGTTTGGTGTGGTGGCACATAAGATCTGTTTGGTGAAACGTATGTCTGTGGTGGCGCTCTGGTGGGTGAACTGATGCTTTTCTCATCACCATAATAACATGAGCACTCCTCCCAGAGCTCCGTCTCCATGGTCACCGCTCACACACGACAAACACACAATGAGGAGACTTGAATGTGACTAACACATGCACCTGCACAGGCTCTTAATGCCTGCTATTCTCAGTCACAATCGTGCGTATTTTCCCTGACGCTGAATGAATGAAACAGTTGATCTAATTTATTGCCTCATGAATAATGTATGCTGCAGTAACGGGATTGGATTGCTTGCTGTTAATGTCTGCCCTTCAATCAATGCTGGCTTTGCAAAATCAGACTAAAACCCACCCATGTGCAATTTAGGTACAAATGGTTTCATTTCTTTGAATTTATACATTTGAAGATCAAATTGTTCTAATTCAAAATACTTGCATCTTGTACAAATCTCTATGAAGTAAAAAATACCCAAATCAGTAGAACAATTAATAAAAAAATCTAATAATCTTTACATTTTAGTTGTCTAATTACATAAAATACACAGTACCTTATTATTGAACACTCAAAAATGCTCATAACTCTTATTTTGGCTGGTCATACATTTTATAATGTTATTTTCAGTTAAAAGTACACCACAGTGTAGAACCAGCACCAGTCGGTATGAACACATTGCACATACTCTCCTTTGTGTGATAGCAATCAGGAGCTTAGCCTGGGCTCAGAGGGACGTTTAGTCAGTAATCATAGGTGCAGTGTCTGAGGTGGTGTCTGGCTCTGGCTCACTGTAGCAGTCCATCTCCTCCATCTCTCTCTCCGCTGGCTCCTCCCTACCTCTGAAGCATATCAGCCTCTCCTCTTTCCACCTCCTCCTCTCCCTTTCTGCGTCTTTAGGTATTGCTGTTTGCTCCAGCTCCAGCATGGCCTGGACACTCTCTCCTCTCTCTCCTGGGCCGAGGCAGCGGTCTCTGGTTGTGAGAGCAAGTCCTCCCCCTCTCCATCCCGTCACCATGTGGAGGAATGAGAAAGCGCTGTCTGAAGCCTCTCCCCCTGTCACACAGACAGTGGTCGGGCCTTGGTCGCTGTGGCTCTCCTGGGGCCTTTTGGGAGACTCAATCCTTGTTTTCTTACTTAATATGAAGTTAAAAAAGGCTGTCACTAGAAGCATTGTCCCTGAAATCAGAAAATAAAATCTGTTTTTATATAGGATTTGCAATAGTAATAGGAAAAGCATGTGTAGATAGTAGATAATAGATAATAGTGCTTCAATTTGTCACACTGTCACAGCTCACTGGGACACTTGAATAGAACAGAGCTAACATTAATGTTATAATCTACAGCTATGCTTTTTCTTTGATGTGACAAGTCAAAATGTCTGCTACTGCAAAGGCCTATATGACACACAACAGCACAGTAAACAGTACTGTAATCATCAGTGGTATACAAGTATTGTATCTGCTGGTGAAATTTTACCTGGGATTATTGCATGCCACACCAGCACAGGGTGCAAGAAGCAGACCACTGACATTATGGAGTAATAGAGGAATTTATGGAAGCCTCCAATGTGAGCCATCTTCCCCCACAATACAAACAGCTGCCAGTCTGGAGGACAGCTATAGAGAAAGAGAGGAAGAAGAGGAACAACTGAGACTCAATTTACAAACCATCTACCAAAATCTTTATTCTTGTTAGGACTAAAAAGTCACGTTCACGCTATTATTCTGACACTAAAGACAGGTAAATATGTGAATGGCAGACATCAGGACAGACTAACAAAACGGAGAGTCCATGTTTAGATTTAGGTTTTTGGACCTGCCTTGCACTAACAAACATAGTTTCTATATGTGGTTTTCCCTCTGTGTATTTATGCTACAGTATCCATGCAGAGCACAAATGTTGCAGATGTGTGTTGTGTACTCACGGCAGACACATGAACAGAAGAGCATCCAGGAAATAGGCAAGTTCAAACATCATGATGCCAACAGATGATACTCTGGAACGAGAAAGAAGTTCAGAGCTCAATGAAACTGATACAGTCTCACTGATAAAATCAGTAAACTGTTTGTAAATAAGATTTAAAAGATTGGATTAGATATTTAAATATGTCAGTTTCTTTGTATTTTATCTATGGCTGTGGGTGAAGATTATATTTTCTAAACTGTGGGTAGGAAGGGAGAGACTTCAAGTGACCTATATAAGATATCGCTTTCATATGATGCAAAAGATTTGGCATTTAGGAGTTGTGTTTGGTGCTACAGTATATGCCCTCTTCTCTATTTTGTGTTTAAATAGTCTGATAACAATCTAATCTAGTGAACCAGAAAAATGCCTGAAGACTAATCATCATAGCCGTCTCTCTAAAGACTTATCGCTGAGTTGTGTGCTTCTGTGTGAACAGCCTTCATCTGCATTTGTGTGTACTGATAGAATAAACATGCATTTCTGGTCTCCTTTGGGAGATGTTTTCCTGTGGCTCTGTGGGAATTTAGCTGTGTCAGCCACAGAGATAATAGGAAGTAGCACTGAAGGTCTTCCTCTGCATCTCACTTCACCTCACTGACTCCTTCACAACATCTCCTTGCAAGCATGTGTACACACACTGTATGAGGGATTATGAAAGCAGGTACAGTATTGTAACTGTTTTCTACAAGCCCTCAGGCCACACATTCTTTACAATATTAAAAACCCGGTGGTAACTCAGGAATGCCACCAGTTTAGTCTCAAGCAGGCCAAAGTCAGGAGTGCTGTGGTAGGTTTAAATGCAGTGTATTACGAGTAGACAATAATACCTACTTACAGTAGGTAGATACCGAGGCTGTTGAATTCTCCATGATGGAGGGTCTCCACTCCCACAGCACACAAGACTGAAAGAAAGAGAGGAAGATAATCTTTTATTTTTAGAGTTACTGGTGAGCAGGATCTGACCACCAGATGTCAGACTTAGTTCACGGTTTTCTCCATAGCTGCCGGCAGGGTAGCAACTGGTCTAAACTTGGGTGATTAAATGTAATCTGTACAAATGTTCTCACAGTGATTCAACTTTGTGTCTTTGGCATGTTGCTTTTAAGGTAGCGTTTACTGAATTCTTGGTGCTTGTAGATGTGATGTTTGAAGCAGTTGATGGTAAATAAGTCCTCGCTGAAAAGCATTTCTGCCCTCAAATAGCAACAAAGATTGAGCTGACCTGAAGGGACCCAACTTGAATTCATAGTTCACACTCTAGGGGGTAGTACTGAACACTTGATATTGGTAATTGTTGTAATTGTTTCCACCATGGTTGCAGCATTTTGGTAATAGCTTACTCATGCTTGTAATTACAATGTCATTGCCAGTGGGTTGGGTAATTTTATTTGAGTGGACACTTTAACACATCATAGATCTTCTGCCAGAGCAGAGTCATGGCAATTTTAAAAAGCTTTGCCACTTGTTAGGTGGTGACAAGGCATCATGGTATGTTGATAGTCCTTCTTTTACATCTTGAGCTTAAGAATTATAAAATATACAGAACACAGTCAACTTTGCTGCAGTGCCTTTGAGCAGGACGCTGAATCTCTTCTACAGCTGCCCTTAACTTCTGATCTCACTGCGTTGATGGAAACCAAAATAAATTGTATCCTGAAGAGATCAATAATGTGATTTAATTTGTATCTCTAATTCTATATAATTCTATCAATAAAATTCTGTTTCTTTCTGACGTTAGATAAACACATTATCTACCCCTAGCAGCCAGTTAGCTTACCTTAGAACAATGACTTGAAACCTAGCCTGGCTCTCTCCGAAGGTAACAAAATCTCCTTACTAACACCACTAAAGGTAAAAAATTAACAAGTTAGGCTATGTCTCATTGTCTTTACCTTGTCAACAACAGGTTGTGGTTTTACAGGCCAGGCACAATAATTCTGGTGCCTAGTTGTCTTTGTGGGGTTGCCAGAAAAGTAGCAGATGGCTCAGTAAGTTACTGCTCCTCACAAAGAAATAGTTTGGCTCATAACCCTGACTAAAACCATAATGTGTTATGCTTTGGTTGTTGTTAGGATTAAACAAGCACAATACGGTTTATAACTTCTTAATCTGTAAACTTTAGAGGTGCAGGTAGGCTGGTACATTTGTCATCTTGCCACACCTTGCAGTCGTTTCCCTGTTTACAGTCTTTGTGCTAAGCTGAGCTATCTAGCTGCTGGCTGTATATTTAAGTGACAGATATGAGAGTGCTATCAAACCTCTCATCTAACTCTCGGCAAGAGACCTAAAATGTCCAACTATTGCTTTATTTTGAAGATTCTGAATGCTGACTGTGAAACACATTTTAACACATATGGGAGGAGATGAAATTAGATGACAACAAAGTCTTAAAAGCTATAAAGAAAAGCCTGTTTGATTAACAATTTTTGTCCTGTGAAATATAAATGAGGTAAGCATGGTAAAGTGCTGATCGCCACTAAACACATGGAAGCAATTTCTCTGGCTGGCTTACCAGAAACTCAGAGATAGAATCTGCACCAGAGGGAAATCAAGGGAATGTTTTCTGGTAGTTTATAGTGTGTGAGAGGAATTAACGCTGCATATAGACCAGCTGGATATTAACATATATGCCCTCTCTGCATATATGTCTGAGTAGAACACACACAGAGGCAGACAGGCCAACACAGACATGTAGACGTGTGAACACACTGACAAAGGCACACGCAGGCCTACCATAAACATACACACACACACATATAGAAACAATCCACTGAAAGCTTATGTAGGTGTGAATGCATAAGCCCAGTAACCCAGCTGGATGCAGAGACTTGGTTTTGGTGTGATGCGAGGCACATGTCTCTCAGTAAATGTTCAGTGTCTGCAGCTGTTTGAATTTAAGTGGAGGGGGTCCCATATTTTTTGAAGGAGGCAGCAACCAGAGAGCTATTTCCCCCATGATGATTTAATGTGGCTATGAGAGCTGCATGCAATCTGTCCCTGTGTGCCTGAGGAAAACAGAGGAGGAGGGACCATAATAGCAAGGTTATGTATGGACAAGTATGTTTTTATATTCTCTATATATCAGCAAACAGATGGTTTGATGTTCTTGGAGGTCAAGAATACAGTTGGCCAACATCATCATCTGACCTTCTAACATTGTGGGTTTATAAAATCTTTATAGCTGGATAATACTGCCCCACTGGAGAACTTAAAATAGCTATTTCAGAGTCAGATATCAGCTTCAAAAAACAGGTTGCACCACAGCAGATAAAATGCACAATTACTATAACAACTGCTACTTCTACTACCAATAGTTTTAGGTTGAATTTTAAGACCATATTTCTAATATTTTCACAATGACTGCGGAACAGAGAGATGTTCTGGAGTCTGTTGTGCATCTGCAAGTTTATCCAAAGAAGTAAATCACGCCCATACTGAAACAATAAGTGATACACGTGACTCTGAATTTAATCCTGTTATATTCTTCTGTTTGTGTTTTTATTTATATCTTACCTGTTGCTGTAGAAACACCAAGGATCCTGCAGGCGCACTCCACTACAATCCACCAAATGCTCTCTGAGTTTCCCATGACCTCAAATACTTTCCCTCTTTACTGTTTAAAAATGTAACCTTCACAATTCTCTAACGATATCTGAAATTGTTGGTGTGCTAGTAGTTACTAAAGTAGCATTCTAGACACATATTTGACTGTTCGCTAGAAGGATGGTTGTAAAAAAAAAGTTGGATAATCCATGCGTGCCATAATGTGGAGCCTCTGAGACTGGACGAATTTACCTCAGAAAGGTTTGTGACTCAATGCCCCTGCTCTATTGACTGCTAATCAGCCTCACACACACACACACACACACACACACACACACACACACACACACACACACACACACACACACACACAAAACACACACACTCACACACACACACACACACACACACACACACACACACACACACACACACACACAATAACAATACCACTTTCAGTTAATTTAGCATTCCTCTTTATGCGTCAAGGTGAAACTGTCCAGCTCGGGGTCATTTGTAGATCACATTTGTCATTAGACCTGGTTAAAAATTATCTATTAAGTATTAATATAAAACTAACTCTCTCTCCCTCTTTCACACACACACACACACACACACACACACACACACACACACACACACACACACGCACACACATTCCCTTAATGCCACACGTAAACTATAAATATACATACTCAGAATAAGCATTAATTTCTTTCCTTCCAAATAATTTCTTGCCCCCTCCCTTCAAACTTCCTTTTGTTTTCCTGTGTCATTTCTTGTTGTTGTGAGGATTTGGGTGATCCCGTGTAATCTAACCATCAGAAACCCTTTTTTCAGGGCCACAGTCACATATGCAGCTTCCAGTTTGACGTTCATTTATCGAAACACAGTTTCAGCAAGAGTAAGCATTGACGAAATAGGCTGCCGCTTGCGTCAGTAAACAAAAAGCAATGTTTTCAAACAAGTCCCACTCAGTGTGCAGTTTATTTTAATGCAACACTGAATCTCTGCACGTTGTGTGCAATGGATATGGGCTAAAATGCCACAAGAGCCAACAGAGACCCTTTGACACACTTACACATGCATAAATGCAAGCCCACATAATACGCTGATGCAGGTTTGGCTGAGGTGTAAGCTTGTTCAGGCACAGCAGAGTCCTATTGGAACGAGCAGTCAGAGTCACAGAGCTCACACACACACACCCTGACTCCTGGTAGGGGCCAAAGTAAGCTACATAAATCTCCTTAAATCTCTAACAAAGACACTTTTGTTTACTGGTTCCACTTAGTTTCCGGCTTAGCGTCCAGGTTATTTGTGGCATTTATGGTATATAGGGTATAAGTGAGTGTGTTTCAGCAGTGCTACAGAAACTGCAGAAGATGTGGAATGACAAATGTAATACTCTAGTTTTCCAACATAGGATGGAAATGTTGGTCTGTAGATATAACCACTTTTTTCATCCAGACCAAAATATGACGACATTCATGGCCCCCAGAGGAGGAAGCCTACTGACTTTTGTTATCTTGTGACCTTTTATTTTGTACCACAACAAGGTTTGTTTGATATTACAAAACAGGCATGCCCCCCTTAGGATGAATTTTAATAACTTTGATGTCTCCTTAACATTTTTTCATCATCAGGTCAGAATTTTTATCACTTATTTCATCAAATACCTGCAAAACTACTTACATCCTCATCAGCCTCAGCTGTACCACATGCTAAACTGAAATAGTGAACATAATAAACATTATAACTGCTCAGCATCAGCGTGTAAGCATTGCTGTGATCATCATGTGATCATTCTCTGTTGAGGGTTTATAAGTTGTAACTAGTGGCTTGACTTATTAAATGTTTAATAGATAGAACTTTATTCATGCTTAGAGCAGTTGTAAGCTATTTATAAGAACATTTGTTGGGTTTCCAGGCTGTGAAAAATCCCTCTGGCTGGTGTACATCCTGTTCTTACATGAGATGTCTTTTTATGTAGCTCTTTCTTTCATCAAAAAGACCCCTCCAAAGCACAATTTAACCATTTACCTTTTATAAATCAGCTGCACCGCATCCACATAAAAATTTACTGCTGTAGACTTTATGGTTTCTAAGCTATTTGATTGCTTAATCACATATTTTAAATGGACTTCATTTATATAGTTATTTCACGAGTGCTTCATAACGAGCCTTTTATTAACCCATACTCACACACTGATGGGAGCACAGGTGCCATGCAAGGCCCTAGCCTAATCACCAGGAGCAATTGGGTTCAGTGTCTTGCTCAAGGACACCCCGACGTGTGGACACGATGAGACAGGGATTGAACCGCACACTGTGCAGTTAATGGACAACTTACTCAACCTCTTGAGACGCAGATACTTCTACACATACAATCACTGTAACATACTGTAAAAATGCCACCACCAAACACTGTTTGACCACCCACTAATTGATAAAAGAGAAACGAAGCCTGCAGAAATCTTATGTGTGTTTAGACTGCAGCGCATTATTGCCTGTGAACCAGACGTTCATGAAATAGGAATGTGCACTGTGCATGTTAACTGAGCCTCGCCACCATGGCCACAGAGGGCTGTGTGTTTATGTTTATTTGACATACTTGGCCCTTATGATGACATGAAAACAGCCTTATAAAAACACAGTTTATGGTAATAAGTCATTGTGTATTGTGATTGGATTGTTGCTGACATTTACTGTACATTGTGAGTTTTATGGTAGTTGTCAGGGTATGCCAGAGGGTGGAGTAGTTTAAGCAATTATGACTGATTGCCATCTAGTGAGACTGTAAATCTAATGTTACAGAATAAATACAGTCTCATGTTTTCATTTGGTCTTTGCAGCTATACAGACACGTCCACGTCTCCTCTCAACGCCCAGCCTGACCCACAACCTTTGACCTTCTTCCCAAACTTTCACTTGCCTGCTCACATGCTCTCTCGCCCTGTAATCATCCCCGCGTTATGCCTCCTCACCCTCCTCCTCATCACAGCTTCACACCATTCTCCCCCTCACTCCACAGTGCCCATGGGCACTAGAGATTAGCCATGCCTCTCTCTCTCTCAACTTTCTCCCTCCCTTCCTCCCCATCCAGCCTCTCTTAGTCTGGCGTGGGTGTCTGGTGCCTGTCAGAACCAGTGAAAACAGCTCTAATCTTAATTACACCAGCAGCTTTATTACCCTGCTCCACTGCTTTGCACGGGCAATCTCTCCATAATCACTTTCTACAGGCTGTTTTATCTAAAGGGAGGGCTGCAAAAGATACCTGAAAGACTGTATTAATTGTAGCTGAAAACTTGAATATTTTGTATATTATGAAGATATAAACTTAACTGGACACAGTGTGACTATTATGCCTCACTGCAGTCATTAAGATACCTGGCCATAGCGGACCCTAATTACTAGATTTACAAAGGCAGGGAGCCACCTAGTGGTTCAGAGATGTTGGTACATTGCAGCCCTGAAGTGGCTGGTCATAATCTGATTAATGACTTGAAGGAGAATGAGATCACTGTAACATACTGTAAAAAACACCAGGAACATGCTGACACTGATCAGGACAAAAGTGTCTTGTTTCTAAACTCTTTTTCCCCATTTTTAACAATACCAAAAGGTCAGAAGCATCATGCAGAGAGATGAAGCATGGGAACATGGGAAAGAGCAGGAAAAATATGTGGTTGTGAAACAGATATGAATCATGGATGTTTTGGGAAGACAAAGTGGATGTGGATGTGTAATGTCTGCCTGTTTAGTGTCTTATAGTCAACACAGATTGTATACATCATTACGAGGTGATGATTTCACAATGTTCAGACCCCCCACGCGTAAAGGAAGAATTATAGAAATTGTGGATCATTGTGTAATATCAAATCAGGTGATCAGATCATATCTCTGCAAGTCTCTGTAGCAACAACCTGGTGCAGGCCTGAGTGATGCATGTAGACCAGTGTGTAGGATTTCAGCGGTGAGAGTGAACCAAAACAGGTAAAATGCCCTGTAGAGCCGTGGGTATCTGTGACCCCTCTCACATACATGTAATCAAATGATCGATAGTTTATATAAAAATATGGATTATAATCACTTAAAGGGACAGTTCACCCCAAAATCAAAAACACATCTTTTTCCTCCTACCTGTGGTGTTATTTATCCATCTTAGATTGTTTTGGGTGAGTCACCGAGTGTTGGAGATATTGGCTGTAGATATGTCTGCCTTTCCTCAAATATAATGGAACCAGATAGCACTTGGCTTGTGGTGCACATATACACACACAAAAATAGAAAAATAGAAAAACTCAAACAGCAATGTCTATTTCCAGAAGTCATGAACCACTTATCAAAGATAATCCACAGACCATGTTGTGAGCAGTTTCAAGTAGGAACTATTTTCTTTCTGCAAACCTACACCCACTAATTGTAGCTGAACGTTGGCTATCTCAGCGATGCAAGGTGAGCTAACGTTAAAGCTTAGCCAAGGAGGATGCCATTAATGTTTATATGCTGCACTGTCACAAGCGCGAACCACTTGTCCATGGGTAGATATACGCTTCCTTCTGTGGTGTTATAAATAGAAAGAAAATAGCTCCAACACGAAACTGCTCACAACAAGGTCTGTAGATTATCTTGAGTAACCAGGTCCTGGTTTCTGGAAAGAGACATTGCTGTTGAGTTTTTCAAATGTAACTTTTTTGTGCTTTGAGCACAACAAGCCGAGTGCAATCTGATTCTGATTATATTTGAGAGAACAGACATCCAAAACACAACAACAGCAACTTTCACCAAAATCTAAATGGATAAATAGCCCTGCAGGTGAGGAAAAGAAGAAAAATAATGAACAGTCCCTGTAACAACGTATTGGATGTTCCTCAGACTGCAAGAGTAGCCACAGTGAGGAGAAGGTGAACAGCAACATATATGGTAAGGTATTAATGTGCTCACATGTGCTTAATTTTGATTGGCAGAGCGTGACTTGGCTGAGAGGTGTGAGAAGTCTGGATTCCCGTTCACACAGGATGCAAATGAGCTGGCAAAAGACAACATGGAAAAGTAACGTTAGCATCCATCAAACCAGATTCTCACATACCAGTGTATGTGCGCATGTACTGCTGTTGATCTTTGGCTTCTTAATTGTGAATTTGAGGCCAGCTTCACTAACGCATAGTCAAATAAATAATTATCCCCACTTCCTTTGCCAAAGTTAATGTTCAACTGTCATCTCTTTTCTGTTTCAGGTTTTGATTTGAGCGCTGCTGAGTCAGGAAGTTTACATCCCCTGCAATAA